CCAAATCACCTAATAATGTATTTCTCAGAATGTATCCCCATCGTTAAGTGACATACGACTGTATTTGAAGACACGGTGGCAGAAAATTTCCAAAATTTGTTGAAAAACATTAATCTGCATGTCCAAGAAGTTCAGTGAACTCCTAAAAGAAAGCCATACCAAGACACATCATAATCAAACTGTTGAAAGCCAGAGAAAAAGAGAGAATCTTAAAAGCCGCAAGAGAGAAGCCAGTTATCACATATCATGTGTAAAAGATCCTCAAGAAGATTAACAGCCGATTTCTCCTTATAAATAACGGAGGCCAGAAGGCAGTGAGATGATACAGCAATGGGATGTGGATGGTCCCCAATATATAAGGATTTCATGTGGATGATAATGACAACACATAGGAAGGAAGAAACAGAACCATACAGGAGCAAAATTTCATGTATTATTGAAATAAAGTTGGTATTAATCTGAACTAGATTATTACAAGTTAAGATACCCAGAACAACCACTAAGAAAATAACTCAAAATATATATAATAAGAGAAATGACAAGGCAATTAAAATGGTACCCTAGAGAATTTAACCCAAAAGAAGGCAGTCATGGAGAAACAGAGGAACAAAAAAGACGGAAGACATACAGGAAACAAGCAGCAAAAAGGCAGGCATAAATCCTACCTTATCAGGAATTACACTCAACATAAATGGATTAAACACTGCAATAAAGGTGGAGACTGTCATAATGAATTTTTAAAAACAATCAAACTATAGGCTGTCTACAAGAGACACACTTTAGATTTAGATGCAAACAGACTGAAACTAAAAGGATGGAAAAAGATATATCATTCAGACAATGACTGAAAGAGAACTGAAGTGGCTATAGTGATAACAAACAAAATAGACCTTAAAATAGAAATTGTTACTAAGGACAAAGAAGGACATTTTATAATGATAAAAGGGACAATCTATCAAGAAGATACAACAGTTATAAACATATACAGGCATACCTCAGAGATATTGCGTGTTTGCTTCTGGACCACTGCAATAAAGCAACTATCACAGTAAAACGAGTCATGTGAATTTTTTTGGCTTCCTAGTGCATATAAAAGTTATGTTTACATTATACTGCAGTCTATTAAGTGTGCAGTAGCATTGTGTCTAAAAAGTCAATGTACATACCTTAATTAAAAAATATTTTATTGCTAAAAAATGCTAACCATCATCTGAGTGATCTTCAGCAAGTCGTAATCTTTTTTGCTGGTGGAGGGTCTTGTAAAAAACTCAGTATCTGGGAAGTGCAATAAAATGAGGTGTGCCTGTCTGTACCTAATAAAAGAGCACCAGAATACATGAAGCAAAAACTGACAGAATGGAGCATTGGACAGTTTAACAGTTATTGTTGGAATCTTCAACATCCCACTTTCAATTATGGATAGAATAAGTAGATGGAAGGTCAACAAGGAAATCGAAGATTTGAACAACACTATAAGCCAATGACACTTAAAAGACATCTATAGAACATCGCATCCAACAACAGAAGAATACACATTTCTCCCTAGTGCACATGGAGCATTTGTAGGATAGACCACAAAACAGGCCATAATATAAGTCTCAATAAGTTTAAAAGAATTGAACTCATACAAAGTATGTTCTCTGATCAAAGTGGAATGAAATTAGAAATCAATAACAAAGGATAATTTAGAAATTCACAAATATGTGGAAATTAACACAATCCTACATCACCAACAGATCAATGAGTAAGTCACAGGGAAATTAGAAAATACTTTGAGATGAATGAAAATAAAAACATAACAGACTAAAATTTATGGAATGTAGTGAAAGCAGTGCTTACAGAAAAATTTATAGCTGTAAATTATACATTAAGAAAGAAGGCAGAACCCAAATCAATAACAAGTTAGTGAAAGTACAAACTAAACCAAAGCAAACGTTAGGAAGAAAATAATAAAAATTATAGCAGAAATAGGGACTGGCTCCGTGGCCAAGTGGTTCAGTTCGCATGCTCCGTTTCAGCGGCCCAGGGTTTCACTGGTTCATATCCTGGGGATGGACCTAGCACCACTCGTCAGGCCATGCTGAGGCGGCATCCCACATAGCAGAACCAGAAGGACCTACAACTAGAATATACAGCTGTGTACTGAGGGGCTTCAGGGAGAAGAAGAGAAAAAAAAGAAGATTGGCAACAGATGTTAGCTCAGGTGCCAATCTTTAACAAAAAAGGTTGTAGCAGAAATAAATGAAGCATAAAAAATAGAAAACTATAGAGAAAACCAGTGAGACCAGAAGTTGATTCTTTGAAAGATGAACAAATTGAAAAACTTTGGGCTAGACTGACTAATAAAAAAGAGAAAAAGACTTAAACTGCTAAAGTCATGAATGAAAGATAGGGGCACATCACTACCAACCTTACAGAAATAAAAAGAATTATAAAGTAATACTATGAATAACTGTATGCCAGCACATTAGATAACTAGGTGAAATGTACAACTTCCTAGAAAGATTCAATGAAACTGACTCAGTAAGAAATAGAAAAGTTGAACAGACCTATAACAAGCAGAGATAGAATTAGTAATCAAAAAATTTCCCACAGAGAAAAGCTCAGGACCAGACAATTTCATCAACAAATTAATTCTACCAAACATTTAAAAAACAATTAACCCCAATCCTTCTGAAACTCTTCCTAAAAATAGAAGACTATTTAATAGACTATATAAGACTAAAAATAGAAGGAACATTTCCCAACTCATTTGTGAGGCCAGTATTCCCTGATATCAACCCCAGACAAAGACATCACAATAAAACTGCAAACCAATATCATTTATGAATATGGACACAAAAAACCTCTACAAAATACTAGCAAACTGAATGTGGCAACACAGAAAAAGGATGATTCACCATAACCAAGTAGGATTTATCTCAGGAATGCAAGATTAGTTTAACATATGAAAATCAATCAATGTAACACATTTTGGTAGAATAGAGAATAAAACCACATGATTACCTCAATAAGCACAGGAAAAGCATTTGACAAAATTCAACATTCTTTCATCATAAAAACACTAATAAACCAGGAATAGAAGGGAACTTCCTCAACTTAAGAGGCAGCATGAAAAACCCACAGCCGACATCATATTTAATGGTGAAAGACTAGAAACTTTCCTTCTGAGATCAGGAACAACACAAGAATGTCTGCTCCTCACTACTTGTATTTAACATGGTACTGAGGCAATGTTGTCCTGAGGCAATGTACTGGAGGTACTTGCCTGGGCAATTAGGTCAGAAAATGAAATAAAAGGCTTCCAGATTGGAAAGGAAAAAGTAAAATTATGTCTATTTTCAGATAATGTGATCTTGTATATAGAAAATCCTAAGAAATACACACAAAGACACACACACACACACAAACCTATCAGAGCTAATAAATGTAGCAAGGTTGCAGGATACAAGACCAATATATAAAAATTAAGTCTATTTCTGTATATTACTAAGGATCAATCAAGGAGTGAAATTAAGAAAACAATTCCATTTACAATAGTATCAAAAAGAATAAAAATACTTAGGAATAAAGAAGTGTAAGACTTGTGCACTGAAAACTAAAAAAATCACTTGAAGAAATTAAATAAATTGAAAAATAATGCATGTTCACGGATTGGATGCTTTAATATTGTTAGGATGGCAATAGTCCCTGTTATGGGTTGAATCATGTCCTCCCCAAAAAGATATGTTGAAGTCTTAACCAAGTACCTCAGAATGTGACCTTATTTGGAATAAGTCATTTGCATATGTAATTAGTTGAGATGAGGTCACACTGGAGTAGGGCGGGCCCCCAATTCAATATGACTGGTGCATTCTAAGAAGATGCCATATGAAGACAGAGGAGAACACCACGTGAAGATAGAGGATTGGATTCATGCATCTACAAGCCAATGAATACCAAAGATTGCTAGCAAACCACTAGACACTAGGAAGAGGCAAGGAAGGATTCACCAAAAGGTTTAAGAGGAAACATGGCCCTGAAGATGCCTTGATTGCAGACTTCTAGTCTCCAGAACTGAGACAATGAATTTCTATTGCTTTAAGGCACCCAGTTTGTGGTACTTTGCAATGGCAGCCCTAAGAAACTAATAAAGTCCACAAATAGATCTATGGATTCAGTGCAATTCCTATTAAAAGCTCAGCTGCCTTTTTGGCAGTAATTGACAAGCTGATCCTACAGACCCTGAACAGCCAAAACAATGTTGAAAAAGAAGAACCAAGTTGAAGATATACACTTCCTGATTTCAAAACTTTCTGCAAAGCTACAGTAATCAAGCCTGTGTGGTCCTGGCATAAGGACAGACATATAGATTAATGGAATAGAATTGAGAGTCCAGAAATAAACCCTTACATTTATGGTTAACTCATTTTCTACAAGGGTGCCAAGACCATTCAATGGGGAAAAGAATGGGGCTGAGATAACTGGATATCCACATGCAAAAGAATGAAGTTGGACCCCTACCTCACACTATATACAAAAATTAACACAAAATGGATTAAGGACCTAAATGTGAGAGCTAAAACTACAAAACTTTTAGAAGAAAACATAGGTGTAAATCATAGTGACCTTGGATTAGGCAATGATTTCTTAGATATGACACTTAAAGCACAATCAACCAAAGGAAAAATAGATAAATTTGATTGTATCAGAATTAAAATCTTTGTGCTTCAAAGGACACTATCAGGGACATGGAAAGACAAATGACAGAATGGGAGAAAATATTTGCGAATCATATATCTGATAATGGTCTAGTATCCAGCATATATAAAGAACTCTTACAACTCAACAATAAAAAAGATAAATAACCCAATTTTAAAATGAGCAAAGGATTTGAATAGACATTTCTTCAAAGAATATATACGAATGGTCAATAAACACATGAAAAGATGCTCAACATCATTAATCATCAGGGAAATGCAAAGCAAAACCACAATAAGATACCACTTCACACACACTAGTATGGCTTCATCAAAAAAAGGCAATTGATAAGTTTTACTGAGAACGTGGAGAAATTGGAACCCTCATACATTGCTGGTGGGAATATAAAATGGTGCGCTCACTTTGAAATCAGTTTGGCAATTCTTCAAAAAGTTAAACATCAAATTACCACATGACCCAACAGTTGCACACCCAAGAGAAGTAGAAACATATGCCCACACAAAAACTTTAATATATGTTCATAGCTGCATTATTCACAATAGGTAAAAAATGAAACAACCAAATGTTTATAAACTGATGAATATATAAACACAATGTGGTATTATCCATACAATGGAATATTATTCCTCCATACAAAGGAATGAAGTACTGATACCTGCTACAACACGGATGAACCTTGAAGACATTATGCTACGTGAAAGAGCCAGACAGAAAAGGCCACATATCATACGATTCCATTTACATGAAGTTTCCAGGCAAACCCATAAGAACTAGAAGTAGATTAGTGGTTGGCAGGGGCTGAGGGTGGGAGAATGGGGAGTGAATTGGGAGAGAACAGGTATGAGGCTTCTTTTGGGGGTGATGAGCATGTCCTGGAATTATATAGTAGTTATGGTTGCATAATCTTGTGAATTTACTAGAAACCAGTATATTTATATTTTAAAAGGACAAATTTTATGATATGTGAATTATATTTCAATTTAAAAAAATAAGATGTTGTCCAGGCTACAGTCATCTGGGGCTTCACTGGGGCTGTAGGGTCCTCTTCCCAGATGTCTTTCTTACATTACTGTTGCCCGGAGGCCTCAGTTCCTCACCAGGTAGACTTCTCAAAAGGCCTCCTAAGTGTCTTCACAACATGGCAGCTGGCTTCCCCGGAGCAAGTGATCCAAGAGAGAGCAAGTGATCCTAGAGAGACCAAGGAGGAAGTCACATAATATTTTTATGACCTAGTCTTGGAAGTTACACAGTCACTTCTGTCACATTTTATTAGTTGTAAGTGAGTCTCTAAGTCCAGCTCATACTCAGGAGGAAGAATGCAAGCTTCACCTCTTGAAGGGAGGGGACATTAAATAATGTGTGGACACACGTTAAAACCCACCACATGTACATGTAACATGTCCAGGACATACAAGAAAGTGACAACAGGGTTCCATGCAGAGAGGGGAATCAGAAGGCTCGAGGACAAGAGCTGGATGGAGATGGCTCACTGTAAACTCATTTGCACCTTTTGAATTGTGAACCATTGAATGTGCTACCTGTTCAAATAATTTAAAATAATTTAAAAATTAAAAACAAAAAATAAATTCATTTCCCTTTAAAAAGAAAATAGTTTTAACCTGTAATTTGCTTTGCTAGCTGGGTTTGTTAGCTTAAAGTCCTAAATCAAATTGCACTTTTATGAATAAATATATTATTTTATATATTTATATTCATCCATTCATTCATCCATCCATCCAGACATACATACTTTCTCACTCCCTAGCTCCTCACAGCCAAGGTTTAACAAAAACAAAACAGCTAGAATCCATCCTTGTGCTCTAAAAGTCTTTTTTAATATATTCTTATGTACACATTGAGACCCTTTACGCTTTAGTTTCAAAGTTGGTAAAACCTTGTCCTAGAAAAGTACAAAAATACCAAAAACTGGCGAGCATGAAAATGAAGGAGAGATGACAAATTGTATCATTGAGTAAGTAGATTGAGTAGTGAGCTCCCTGGCTTCCCTTCTTGGACCTGATGTTTTCCACAGCTATAAACAGGTCCTGGAGCTCCTGGGGGAGAACACAATTTCACTGTAAAGGTTCACTGACACATCTGTCCACCGGATTCCTGTAACCTAAATACAGTGCAGAACACTGTGACTTTTCTTTGACTGTTACTTGCAGCTGAAAGTCTCTGATCACTCCTCCTTAGGGGCAGTACAGCCCAGGGGTTCAGTAGGGGCTTGGAAGTTTGCCTCAGTTCAAAATACTTAGCGGTGAATGAAAATGAAAACACAACATACCAAAATTTATAGGATGCAGCAAGCAAAGGCAGTGCTCAGAGGAAAAATTTATACCTATAAATAACAATGTAAAAAAAAGAAGAAAGATCTCAAGTCAATAACCTAACTTTACACCTTAAGGAGCTAGAAAAAGAAGAGCAAACTAAACTCAAAGTTAACAGAAAGAAAGAAAGAAAGAAAGAAAGAAAGAAAGAAAGAAAGAAAGATTAGAGCAGAAGCAAATAGAGAATGGAAAACAGCAAGAATCAATGAAACCAAAAGTTCATTCTTTGAAAAGATCAATTTTTACCAATCTTAGCTTGGTGGAAATTATAAGCAGAAACCTCATTAAAACGGAGTCAGGAGGCCCAAAGGGGGAGCCCGCATGCCCTGTGTGGAGAGAAGAGACCAAGAGGAAGAAGAAAGTCTTCCTCTTCTTGACCAGCAAGAAGCTCAGCCAATGAGGACTTGTCACAACTCACCAATGAAAAGCCACTACACTTGGAACTCCCAGTTTCTTCAGTGGACTCTGTTAACAACAGCCCTCCCAACTTCCTCCTCCCTTCTATAAACGAGTTTCTCCTTCCCTTGCTGCTTCAGGACCTGCATGTGGCTTACCATGGTTGCAGACCCCAAATTCCAATTGTTTGCTGATCCTGAATAAATCCATTTTTGCTGGAGAAATAATCGATTGTCTATTTGTTTAAGGTCAACCTTTGGCGGCCGGTTACAGCTATCCAGAGAAGACACTCTGAGGCTGGTGAGCAAACAGGTGCGGCACCCACCACAGAGCCCACTGAGCTCGCTGCTTTTCTCGCTGGCCCTGGAGTTGGAGGGTAAGTCTTTTCTCCTGGATCTCAGCGTCCGCCCTCTTTGCCTTTGAGGCTGTCCGGGCTTTATTCAAGATCTATTTTAAGGCTTCGTCCTTTTCTGGTTAAGGCCTTGTTTGTCTGTGAGTACTTGGTTGGCACTTCAGCCTGATTCTTTTGAAATCAGGCTGTTTCTACCAAAATTATGCTAAGCCTTTGGAACCCAACTGTTCCTTCTCAGAACTGAGCTGGCACATTGGCCTGACTCCTCTGGGGGCAGACTGTTCCAGGAGCTACGCTGACTCAACCTTCAGTCCACCTGACGAATCAGACTGCTCCTGCTGGAACTGGCTGGGATTAAGCCTACAGCCTGTTTGAGCTGTTCAGACTGTTGGAGTTGCAAGCTGTTTGAGCTGTTGAGAATTATTCCATCACTCTAGAGAAAAACCTCTAAGCAATGGGATCCCAGTTATCTAAAGATTTTGAGGGTGCTCCCCTACAGGGACCCTAGACAATTTTATGTTTAAAAACTTGGTCATTCCTCATGCACAATTCTAACTGAATGGACTGACTTAACATAACTTAGAATACCAGCGGCCCTTATGGGGAACTGGTGAACGCCCCCAAAATTACTTTTCTTTTTAATTTTTTTAAAATTTTTTAATTTTTTCTTTTTCTCCCCAAAGCCCTTCTGGTACATAGTTGTGCATTTTTAGTTGTGTGTCCTTCTACTTGTGGCATGTAGGATGCCCTGTCAGTGTGACTTGATGAGTGGTGCCATGTCCACACCCAGGATCCGAACCGGCAAAACCCTGGGCCGCTGAAGTGAGGTGCGCGAACTTAACAACTCGGCCATGGGGCCGGCCCCAAAATTACTTTTCTTAAAAACAAATTGACAACCACAGCTCTGTAATTTCCAAGACTGAACGGAACGCCTGTTTCAACTGGTATTTTGAGGCTTCCAGGCATTACCAGGAGTCTAAAATCGCCTCTTTGCAAAATAAAATTTTAAGATTGAGGCAAACAAATCATTAAAGGGTAAAATGGCTTGTGAAGCCTCGTGTTCTTCTTTCCCGGCTCCTCGCGCTCAGGCGCCATCTTCCTCCTTCCCTTCTATACCACCCACACCGCCTCCACACCCTCACTTCCCCCACACTACCTCTCTCGCCAAACTGCACCTTTTCCCTGAACCTCTCCCCACTCTCTCTTCCTCTGAACCTGTCAGAACTTGTCCCTTTATTTATTTATTTATTTTGAGGAAGATTAGCCCTGAGCTAACATCTGCCGCCAATCCTCCTCTTTTTGCTGAGGAAGACTTGCGCTGAGCTAACATCCATGCCCATCTTCCTCCACTTTATCCGTGGGACGCTTGCCACAGCATGGCTTGCCAAGCGGTGCCATGTCCGCAACCAGGATCCGAACCCACGAAGCCCGGGCTGCTGAAGCGGAACGTGCACACTTAACCACTGCGCCACTGGGCAGGTCCCAGAACTTGTCCTTTAGAATTAAGCCTTCTGAGGACGCGAAGGCTACACCCTTAATTTCTTACACTCCCTGGACTAAAGCTGAACTGCAAACCATAGTCAAAGATGTTTCCAAAGTAACTGAAGATCCTCAGACTTTTGCTGAGGAATTTAATACAGTCCTTCACCCTTATCAACCTGGTTTCTCTGACTTATATCAGCCAGTTCATATGCTTGTTGGTGAAGGCCAGGCCCAGCTTGAATGAAAACTGCTAGATCAGAAAATCCTGAAAGGTTTCTAGAATCATAGCCAGGAGACCAAGTAGCTGACCTGTTGTATGATCAGGCTGTAGCCATCGCTAGACAACTTCTTCGGGCAGTTACCAGGGCTTTTCCAAAGCCTGAACAAAATTCAGGCTTGTGCACAAAACTCCTGATAAACCTGCTCATGACGATTACAATCGACTTCAGATTGTTTTTAAAGAAAATTCTGGTCTCCCTTCCGATGTTGGTTCCACTCCAGTAGCTTTTAGCTTATGTTTGTTAATGGCTGGATGGGGACCTTTTTTCCCTTCTAGTAAAAATGCCCAGGATGGAATGGGAGACTGTGTCCACTCCAGATTTAGTTAATCTGACAAACCAGCTCTCTCGCATTCCAGGTGAGTCACCGAAAGAAAGACGGCTACAATCCTTAATCTTCAACTCCAGCAAATGAAGGCCCCAAAAGAAAACCAAAAACCTCCTAATTTCTGCTATTATTGCAGAGCCACGACGTTAGGAAAGAGATTGTTACAAATGTAAGTGCTTTAAGTGCCTCCAGCCCTCTAACCAGCCTTTCCAATGTCCTCCAAATTCTCAAGGATGGGGCTCCAAGGAAATGCAGGGGTTCTTCCCAATCCTCCCTCTTAGTCGGCCTGGAGAAAACCTTCTCCAGATTGGGGTGAATCTCTTTTTGTCCTAATTGACACTCAACCCACACTCTTGGTGCTCAGCCCCACTACTCTAAAGCAGCCCCGCCTCGGAAAACGAAAGCAGTTCACATATTGGGGATTTCTAATAAACCTCAACAGGCTCCTGTACGAACCTATTCCCTCTTGTTTAGGTCCTTTGAGACACACACACCCTTTTTTCCTTAGTTCCTCCGCCTCTACTCATTTATCAGGCTGAGACTTCTTAGAAAAGTATTGTGTCAGAATTCTTTCTCCTGAAAGGGGGAAATAATTCTAGAATTTGACAGTAGCCATCAAAACAGCCCACCAAGTGACTTTCTGACATCCTTTATTTGCTCCGTCTCTGACAGTTCTAGAGCTGATCCTGGAAACACTGATCATCTGTCCCTGTTGAATCAGTTACCACCCTCCTCTTGGGCGACATCTCCAGCTGATATGTTAAAACTCGCAGGACACCTCCCATCCAGACTCAAACAGATTCCCCCAAAACCTCTCCCTGGAATTCATCAACATCCTGTAAGGAAAGAAGCCCTTGCAGGTGTACAGTCCATAATAGAGGATTACAGGGCTCGAGGCCTCATTATCCTCTGTGCTAATCCCTGTAACGCTCCTATTTTACCTCTGAGGAAACCCCGGGGCTGAGAATGGAGGTTTGTCCAGGACCTCTGAGCAATAAACAACACGTTATCCCTCGACGCCCTGTTGGTTCCTAACCCTCATACGCTACTACCATCCCCTCCCACTGGAGCAAATTCTTTACGGTAATGAAGTGCATTCTTTCGCATTCCAGTTGCCGAAGCTGGTCAGTACCTCTTTGCCTTCACTTGGGAAGGACGACAATTCACCTGGATGGGAATCTCTCAGGGCTGTACTGAGAGCCCCTCTTATTTCTCACAAATCCCAAAGGCTGGTCTCTATGATGTAAAGCTCCCTGGGGGTTCTACTTGGTTGCAACATGTGGATGATTTGCTGCTTTGCTCTCCCTCCCAGGCCCCCTCACAGGAAGGCAGCATCCACTTGCTAGAGCTTTTAGCCTTAGAGGGACGTAAAGTGGTCAAAGAGAAAGTGCAGTTTGCCCAAACCCAGGTTCGATATTTAGGGCATCTGATATCAGGACAAGGGCTCCCCCCAGATCCAGATTGGCTTCATGGTGTCATGAGTTTCCCCAAACCCAAAACAAAGCGCCAACTGCGAGGTTTTCTCAAGCTAGTTGGTTATTGCTGAAACTGGATTCCAAATTTCTCTCTTATGGCCAAACCTCGGTATGTTTTACTAAAGAATAACAATCCCGGCCCAGTTTTATGAGAAGAACACGATGACAGGCTTTAAGGCCCTAGTGGAGAGTTTGATGAACCCACCTGCCGTGGACATCCCAATTATCAGATCCCCTTTTTCTTTTTTGTGTATGAAAAGGAAGGGAATGCCCTTGGGGTACTCACCCAAAAACATGGGGACCACCATTGACCCGTAGGCTGTCATAGCCAGCAACTGGCCCCTGTGGCACAGAGCTACGCCCCTTGCCTTAATGCCCTTACTGCCTCTGCCCTTTTGGTTCAGGCCACCGAGAAAAGCATTGTGGGACCCCCGTTAACCGTCTTTGTACCTCATGCTGTGGAAGCCCCTCTGAATTCCCACACACTCAACCTATTCCAGTCAGCCACCTCAGCTCCTGTGAAACCTTCTGTTAACCGCTCCTCACGTAACTCCTTTATGTTGTAATAACCTCAACCCTGCGACCCTTCGCCCCTCCGTTACCGACGAAGTCCCTCACGACTACGTAACACGGACAGGTCACCCCTGACTCCTCACGATGATCTGCAGGAAACTCCTTTGGGTAACGCCGACTTCTCGTGGTTCACTGATGGTTCTTATTAAAGAGTGGCAATGGCAAATACTGTGCTGGGCATGCTATTGCCACTCCTTTGATATTGCTGAGGCAGCACCTTTACCTGTGGCTACTTCAGCCCAACAGGCTAAGTTCTGTCCTCTTACACGGGCTTGTACTTTAGCCGAGGGCAGAAGTGCCAATACTTATACTGATAGTAGATATGCTTTCAGAGTAGCTCATGATTGTGTAATGTTGTGGAAGCAACATGGCTTCCTTACTTCCAGTGGAAATAAAATTAAAAATGGCCCCTATGTTCAGGAATTATTGGATGCTATACTTTTACCTGTTGCTTTAGCTATTATTAAGATCTCAGGGCATTCTAACTTGACTCTCGAAGCTAACAGAAATCACCTTGCAGATATTTCTGCAAGGAATGCGTTCCTTAAAGGAACCAACAACAGACACAACTCGGTCATAGTCCAAAGGGATATTTCCCCACATGATAACTTATAAAAACTGTCTAGAGAAGCCTAACAATTGGGCTCAGAAAAGGAAAAACAGGATTGGAAATTCAACAATTGTTTGTTTGATGAAAAGAGAAAGCTCTGGTTTGGACCAAATAACAACCCAGTCCTACCTAAGATTCTAAAATTCCCACTCCTAACCACTGTACATGTATCTAACCATTGGTCTACTGACAAAGTGAAAGCATTCATGAATCAGTATTGGTTGGGAAATATTAACAAAGCTGCAAAAAGTTCCTACCTCACTTGTCCCACTTCTCCAAAATATAATCCAGCGAAGTCTGTTCCTGCCGCTCCCAGACATTTTAAACTGCCTGATGGACAGTTTGAGGTTTTGCAGATGGATTTCATACAACTTCCCATCCCAGGGATATAAAAATGTTGTAGTCACGGTCCGCATGTTTCCTCACTGGACTGAAGCCTTCCCTTGCAGACAGGCTACTGCCTCTTCTGGGACACTCTCTTGAGCGTGACAGTGATTGAGGAACCCATTTACCAGTGAGGTACTTTGACAAGCCTGTGCTGTTTGGCTGGATTTACAGCACTTCCACTGTGCTTACCACCCTCAATCCTCTGGTTTAGTCGAATGCACTAATGGCATTATTAAGACTCAATTGGCAAAATTTAGAAACCCTCCAAATACCTTGGGCAAAAGCACTGCTATTTGCTCTTCTAAATCTCAGATCCACCCCCTCTGGAACTCATACACTCTAACCCTTTGAGAGAGTCACAGGGCACGCAATCCATTTGGCTCCTGCCTCTTTTGACCCACAGCTGATAAAAGGAGATACACTCCAGTATTGTGAAGGCTTAATTGCTTCTATTGAAAACAACCACGTGTTGGTGGAGCACTTTTCACAGTGCGCTCCAGGGAGACGAAGACCTTAAGCATCGCACCTTGCAACCTGGAGATTTCATCTATGGGAGAAGACACCTCCAGAAGGACCCTCTTCAGCCTCGCTGGAAAGGCCCCATGAGGTACTGCTAACTAACCCCTATGCTGCAAAACTCCAGGGACCAGACTCTTGGATTCACATGATGCACCTGAACGAAGCACCAAGGCCTGAGTGGACCTGCACATCATCTGGTGACTTAAAGTAAAGATTGCCTGGAATTGAAGCGGACGACATCTGATGAGGCAGCTGTCTCAAGATGGCTGGACCAGGTCTGTTGGAATTCTGTTTGTCAAATCTTTGATGATGAGATAACACTTCAGATGATCTCCCATGCCTATGAACTTGATGATAAATGGACTTTAGAAGATAAAAAGGCCTGAACATTCTCCCTCCTACTGCTCCTTTTACTCAGATGTGTCCATAATAGGTTTCCAGTCTGTACACCTTCCCTCTGACATGGGACATGACACCCAGGAAAGGTCCTTCCTGGCATCAAGGGACAAAAGGCTGCTGAAACTGGAAAAATCTGACTCTTGATCAGTGATGCTTTCAGAGAAAGATCTTGAACAAAGGGAAAAATGTGGAAATTAATAAACAGAAATCTCATTAAAATGGAGTCAGGAGGCCAAAAAGAGGAGCTCTTATGCCCTATGTTGATAGCAGAGACCAACAAGAAGAAAGACTTAACCAGCAAGAAGCTCAGCCAATGAGAGGCTGTCACAGCTCAGCCAATGAAAAGCCACTACATTCTGGTGTCTCAGTTTCCTCCAGTTGACTCATTGTTTACAATAGCCCTCCCAACTTCCTCTTCCCCTCCATAAAGGAGGTTCTCCTTCCATTTGCTGCTCAGGACTGCACGTTCCTTGCCATGGTTGCAGACCCTGAATTGCAATTCTTTGCTGATCCTGAATAAACCAAATTTTAGTGGAGAAATAATTGGTTATTTGTTTAAGGTCAACCCAAGACTGACACAAAAAAACAGAGAAAAGATGCAAATAACTAAAATCAGAAATGAAAGTGAGGGCATTAGCAAACAAACAGGAAAAGAGAGAACTCTATGAACAATTGTATGCCAAAAATTGGATAACCTAGATCAAATGGACAAATTCCTAGAAACACACAAATTACCTAATTGACTAAAGAAGAAACAGAAAATCTCACTAGACCTGTATCAAGTAAAAACATTGAATTAGTCATCAAAAACTTCCCAAAGAAAAATCTAGGACCACATGGATTCATTGGTAATGCTACCAAACATTTAAAGAAAAATTAACACCGGTCCTTCTCAAACTCTTCCAAAAAACAGAAGAGGAGAAATCACTTCCCAACTCATTTTTATAAGGTCAGCATTTCCCTGTCACCAAAGCCATATTAAGACATCACAAACAAAAAATTATAAATCAGTATCCCTTCTGAATATCAATGCAAGGATCCTTAACAAAGTAGTAGCAAACCAAGGCCATCAGCACTTTAACAGGATTTATACCATGACAAAGTGGCATTTATAACAGGAATGCAAGGGTGGTTCAACATAAGAAAACCAATCAATGTAATATATCACAGTAGAAGGAAGGAAAACAAACCGCACAATCATCTCAATTGACACAGGAAAGGCATTTACAAAAGCCAAAATTCTTTCATGAGAAAAACTTTCAGAAAACTAGGAATATAGGGAAGATTCCTCAATATGACAAAGGACATTTATGGAAAACCCACAGCTAACATCACGCTACATGATGAAAGATTGAAAGCTCTCCCTGTAATTTCACAAATCAGACAAGAATGCCTGCTTTCACCACTGCTATTTAACATTGTACTACAAGTTCTAGCCAGAGCAATTAGACAAGAAAAAGAAATAAAAGGTATCTAAATTGGTAATGAGGAAGTTAAACTCTCTCTATTGCCAGATGACATGATCCTATACATAGAAAACCCCAAGGAATGCACAAGAAAACTACCAGAGCTGATAAACAAATTCAGCAAAATTGCAAAGTACAAGGTCATCACACAAAAATCAGTTGTAGGGGCTGGCCCCGAGGCCGAGTGGTTAGGTTCGTGCGCTCCGCTGCAGGCGGCCCAGTGTTTCGTTGGTTCGAATCCTGGGCGCGGACATGGCACTGCTCATCAGACCACGCTGAGGCAGCGTCCCACATGCCACAACTAGAAGGATCCACAACGAAGAATATACAACTATGTACCAGGGGGCTTTGGGGAGAAAAATGAAAAAATTAAATCTTAAAAAAAAAAAATCAGTTGTGTTTCTATACGCCACTAATGAACAACTAGAAAAGGAAATTAAGAAAGCAGTTCCATTTACAATAACACCTATGTGTGGGTTTTCCACACCAAGCAGTTCTCCAGTTCTCTGTAGACACCAACTGAGTGTCCAACAATTTAAGTCAATATTGACACTAACTACCTAGAGTTAGCACAGACCCCACAGGTTAAGAGCTCAGTCTCACAAGACTGTCCCCTACTTCAGACACCAATCACAAGTAGTGGGTCCCCACGTTACCCACACTTATATCTGACTTGGCTACAAATTGGAGGGGGTCCCATGACCCCCTCTTCAGGTTCAATAATTTCCTATAACAGCTCACAGAACCCAAGGAAAAGCTACTCTTACCGGTTTATTATAAAGGATACAAAGGAACAGGCAGATGAAGAGGTACACAGGGTGAGGTCTAGAAGGGTCCTGAGCATAGGAGCTTCTGTTTCCAAGGAGTTTGGCATGTGCCACCCTCCTGACACACATTCACCAACCCAGCTCTCTAAATCTTATTGCTTAGAGTTTTTATGGAGGTTCAATTATGTATGCACTATTGATTAAATCATTGGCTATTGGTGATTAACTCAATCTCCAGCCCCTCTCCCTTCCCCAGAGATCAAGAGGTGGGGCTGAACATCCCAGCCCTCTAATCACATGGTTGCTTCTTCTAGCAACCAGCTCCCATCCTGGAGCTATCTATGAGCTCACCAAGAGCCACCTCATTAGCATAAACTCAGGGATGGTTGAAAAGGGGGCTTATTGTGAATAACAAAAGATGGTCCTTTCACCCCTACCAGGAAATTCCAAGGGTTTTAGAAGCTTTTGTGCCAAGAACTGGGGATGAAGACCAAATATATATTTCTTATCTCACCGTATCACAATAGAAAAGAATAAAATACCTGGGAATAAATTTAACCCAGGAGTGAAAGACTTGTTCCCTGAAAATTACAAAACATTCTTAAAAGGAATTAAAGAAGACCTAAATAAATGGAAAGACATCCCATGCTCATGGATTAGGAGACTTAATATTATCAAGATGTCAATACTACCCAAAGCCATCTACAAATTCGGTGCAACTCTTATCAAAATTTCAATGGTCTTTTTTGCAGAAACGGAAAAGCTGACCCTCAAATTCAAATGGAATTGCATGGAGTCCATATTAGAGGATGAATTGTACTCCTCTAAATTCATATGTTGAAGCCTTGACCCCCAGTACCTCAGAATGAGACTGGATTAGGAAATAAGGACTTTAAAGAGGTGATTATATTACAATGAGGCTGTTAGGGTGAGCCCTAATCTAATGTGACTGGTGTCCTTTTAAGAAGAGGAAATTTGGATAGAGACAGACCAGGGATGGGCATAGAAAGAGAAAAGACCACAGAGGACACAGCAAGAAGGCGGCCATCTGCAAGCCAAGGAGAGCGGCCTTAGAAGAAACCAAACCTGCTGACACCTTGATCTTGGACTTCAAGCCTCCAGAACCATAAAAAATAAATTTCTGTTTAAGTCACCCAGTCTGTGCGATCTTGTTATGGCAGCCCTAGCAAATTTATACAGCCCAAACAGCCAAAAAGATTTTGAAAAAGAACAAAGTTGGAGGACTCACACTTCAAAGCTTACTACAAAGCTACGGTAATCAAAACACTGAGATACTGGTGTAAGTATAGACTCACAGACCAATGGAGTAGAACTGGGAGTTCTATTCTCAATTCTGTTTGAGAATAGAGTTTATGGCTATTATACATTTATGGCTACTGATTTTTTTTTTTTTTTTGAGGAAGATTGGCCCTGAGCTAACATCTGTTGCCAGTCTTCCTCTTTTTTCTTTTTATGTGGGATGCTGCCACAGAGCATGGCTTGATGAGCGGTGCTAGGTCCACTCCCAGGATCCGAACCTGTGAACCCCGAGCCACCAAAGCAGAGTGCATGAACTTAACAACTATGCTACCGGGCTGGCCCCTATGGCTACTGATTTTTGACATGAGTGCTAAGTCGATTCAATAGGGAAAGAATAGTCTCTTTAATAGATGATGCTGGGACAACTTGACTTCCACATGCAAAAGAATCAAGTTGGACTCCCTACTTCATACCATATACAATATCAACACTAAATGGATCAAAGACTTGAACATGTAAGAGCTAAAACCATAAAATTCTTGAAAGAAAACACAGGGGTAATTCTTCATGACCTTCGATTTGGCAAAGGATTCTCAGGTGTGACACCAAAAGCAGAGGCAACAAAGAAAAATAACAAATTGGGCTTTGTCAAAATTTAAAACTTTTGTGCATCAAAGAACACTATCAACAGAGAGAAGAGGCAACTCACAGAATGGAAGAAAATATTTTCAAATCATATATCCAATAAAGGATTAATATCCAGAATATACAGAAAAACTCCTACAATTCAACAACAAAAAACCCAAACCACTGGGGCTGGCCTGCTGGTGCAGCAGTTAAGTTTGCACATTCTGTTTTGGTGGCCGGAGGTTCACTGGTTCGGATCCTGGGTGCAGACCCATGCACTGCTTGACAAGCCATGCTGTCGCAGGCATCCCACATATAAAGTAGTAGAGGAACATGGGCATGGATGTTAGCTCAGGGCCAGTCTTCCTCAGCAAAAAGAGGAGGATTGGTGGCAGATATTAGCTAATCTTCCTCAAAAAAAAAAAAAAAAACACCAAAAAAACCAACCAAACCACTTAGCTAAACAGGAATGAGCTACTCATACTTTAAAGGCACAACATTCAAAGCCCAGTTTTCTCTCTTTAACATGAGTATGCACTAATAATTTTTAAAAAATAAAATGTCACATTACTGTGATAGGTATGGCCCTAGAAACACTACTGAGCTATAAATGTAACTGCAATCTGTAGTGCAAAGGGATGACAGTGCCACATACCGTCTGTTGATTCACATTCCTCACGATTGAATGAGGTGGTTTGTTTTTTCCAATAGCTAATGAGGAAAAGTGGCAACCTCAAGTAAAGTACAAAGAAGGATAAAACTCCCAAGTGCTGGTTTTTTGAAACTATCAATAAAATAGTCAAACATCTTACAAGTTTAATTTAGAAAGAACACATTTAAAATGATACGTAATAACAGGGATTTTTCCTAATTACAAGAGAAAACTATGTATAATCATATAGTAATAAATTGAAAATCTTGATGACATAGGCACTACAAAGAATGAAGATGAATTTACAGGTAGAAGGGAAAATGGGTGCTTCAAAGAAAAGCTCTGAGTCCTTAAGAGCAACAACCTGCTGGGTTCTGATCCGGCTCGGAGAGGCTCTGCACCTGTGCTCGCCTGGGAGCTAGTTTACAACTCTGTAGGTTGTAGGTACCTGATAGGATGCAAATAATTCTTGTCCACAGACAAATGCAAATAAATCAGTTCTGTTGGCAGAGGTTCAGTTACTTCCCTCCCGACTGTGGAAGAAGTCAGTTTTATGTCCGTTTATGAATTCATTAACATTCTTTTACTCCAAATTCGCCCTTATTTGACTTCTCCCTTGAACTGATTGTAAAATCTTCTCAGTCCCCTGAATTTTAAAAAACGCTTAACATGTTTTCATTTTATATTTATCTTTTTTTTTTAAAGATTTTCTTTTCCTTTTTCTCCCCAAAGCCCCCCGGAACATAGTTGTATATTATTTGTTGTGGGTCCTTCTAGTTGTGGCGTGTGGGACGCCGCCTCAGCATGGTTTGATGAGGAGTGCCATGTCCGCGCCCGGGATTCGAACTGACGAAACACTGGGCCGCCTGCAGCAGAGAGCGCGAACTTAACCACTTGGCCACTGGGCCAGCCCCTATATTTATCTTTATGAGTCATTTCACTTTCTTTGTTGAAAATTATCCTTTAATATAACCAGGGACGATATAGAAAAACAGAAAAAAACTATCTCCAAAAATTACCTGGGGCACCTTCAAACCTTTAAGGAGCAGTTTCTGTGAGACAGAAGGCAGAAGACTGTCCACTCTCATCCTCTGACCAGTCTGGGAGAGCCAGTACCGAGGGCCAGCCTGGCTGGGTGTCGCAGCGTCTGGAGAGCGCTGGGAGACACGTGCACCTGCCCTGCCCATCTCCGGAAGCACAAACCACAGCCCCTGGGGGCGGGGCTGGCCATCTGCTTTTAACAGGTCCCACGTGAAGTTCTAATGAGCACTGGTCCTATTTTACAGAGGCAAGAACTAAGGCCTAGGGAGGTTCCCCAACACTCGGAGCAGAAAACTGCTTCTTCACACTGCCCAATGCCTTATCCCTCCTCCTCCCCCATCGTCCCCCCTATATCTAAGTGATCTAGTGCTCGCAGCCTTAGAGGTGGATGAGGCGGGCAGACTTAAAAGAGCAGTGACACTGCCTCCTAGTGGGAGAGTGTGGCAAACATCACAGCAAACAGCCTTGCGACTGGTTTGCACATTTTATTGGTAATTCTCTTAACCCAGCTCTAATTTCTCCCCCATACAGGAAGCTCAACCCTTTCCTCATCAACACAAAAAACCTAAGGGGGAGCCGGCTCCGTGGCTGAGTAGTTAAGTTTGCGCGCTCCGCTGAGGCGGCCCAGGGTTCGGATCCTGGGCGTGGACATGGCACTGCTCGTCCAGCCACGTTGAGGCGCGTCCCACATCCCACAACTAGAAGGCCCTGCAACTAAGATATAACTGTGTACGGGGTGGGGGGTTGGGGAGATAAAGCAGAAAAAAAAAAAAAGATTGGCAACAGTTGTTAGCCCAGGTGCCAATCTTTAAAAAAAAAGAACAAAAACAAAACCTAAGAGGGAGAGGGCAGCTGCTTTATACAGAACCGTATTTAGAAGGCAAGTGTTATTTGCTCAGAATGCTCGACCCCGCACCGAAAAATGGCAACGTTTGTTGTGAATAAAAAACATTATGAAAGCGCTTCCTTACAGTACACTACTAATAAACATAAAGGGAATAATGGAGTTAAAATATCATCAATGGACACTAAAGCAGTGAGTGCAAGTTAAGAAAGAACAGGATATTTAGCCTCAAAGTATTTCCTCACACCTTAATTACACAGGGGGAAAGAGGAACTTTACCATGGAGAAAGTTGACAGATGCACCTTAATCCCTGGGCTGAGTAAACAGTAAAATTGTGACACACTGATTGTGCCTCTCAATATCATGCACCAAGAACAAGTATCATTTCTGTGGTCTTCCTACAGAGAAAGCAACATTAAATTTGTGAGGAAACATCAAACCCAAGTTGAAGGACATTCTACTAAATCAGTCAATACTTTTAAAAAATGTCAGTCATGAAAGACATAGGATAGAGGCTAAAGGGACATGAAAACTAGATGAAGTCAGTGATTTTGGGTTGGATAGTGGACCAGGAAAAAAGAATTAACTATAGAAGACATTACAGGGAAAACTGGCAAAATGTGATTATGGACTATGGGTAATAGTGTTGTATCAATGTTTAATGTCCTGATTTTGATCATTGCTGTGCTTACGTAAAAGAATGTCCTTGTTTTTAGGAAAGAGACCCTGAAATACTTGGGGCAAAAAGCTATGTCTCTAACCTAACCTCAATGAATCAGAAAAATGTGTGCGTATAGATGTACACACACAGAGAATATAAAGCAGCTGGGGCAAAACAGGAATAACTGGTAGATCTGGGGAGAATATTCACAAGTTCCTTGTACTATTCTTGTAACTTTTCTCCAAGTTTGAAATTATATCAAAACTGGCACAAAACATTTAGCATGTTTGCCATACATATCTGCCTGACAGAAGCAGGTGTGCAAAGATCAGCAGAGCCAGACTGACCTGGATTCTACTTCCTTGCAGATATTGACACATGCATGTGTACAAACGTGCCCAGCTCAATCCCAGTATGAAAAAAGCCTAGTGCGTGTAACACACATCACACCAGCTCCTCCTCCTACTCAACAACAGGTGCCAGCCGAGTCAAGCATGCTCCCCAACGCAGATGGACCCACAGCCTCAGAGCCATCTACTCAGGATCCAGCTAGCCAGCCCTGCTTCCCTTTAAACCAAGTGACACATCCCATCGTTTCACTATCTTCCCCACACATCCATTCACACCTGTCGAATCTCCTATGCTCCAGCTGCTGGCTCAACACCAGACACACACAACTGGTCCTGTGAATACATTCACGATCTGTGTGGGCACTGCCCAGAAGCCACTGACAGGGCTCCACTGCAGACCACACTTGTTCCGGATTCCTCTCTTGAGAAAGTACTCCTGCTCCTAGCTCACCAGCACGCAACCCCACAGCGGACACAGGCAAGGTTGTTTTCCGAGGTTTATTGAAAATATTACAGCATAGCAGAAAGATTCAAACGGCTCCACGTGGTGTTTTGAAATTCATCCCAACTGTGGGCTGAGTGACCTGCAGGTTGGAGAGACTGCCGAAGTCCTGGAACGACAACAGAACAGGTTCAGTAAGGGTGTACCAGTGAAAGCTGTGGCCAGAGCCCCAGCACTACCACCCGGCTGTGCCTGTGCCTGTCAGCTCCCACCAGCCTGGCTGAACCCCGCAGAAACCCAACAGAGGGCCTTCTCCTCCCTGCCCCAGAGCAATCAACTCAAAGCGGGGCTCTACTGGAGATCTGAAGGACCCTGCATTCCAACAGTCAACCGTTAGGGACTTGTCCTACACACTGTAGGATGCTTAGCAGCATCCCTGGCCCCTATCCACTAATGTCTGCTAGTATTCCCCAGCTCCAACAACCAAAAATGTGTCCAGAATTACTGAAATGTCCCTGGGGGGCACAATCTGTCCCTTGAGAATCACTGCTCTAGGGCACATACAGTGCCACCTCCTTTCCTCTCCAGGACCAGCCTCAGGTAGGAGGCATCACTAACGCAATCGACATTTGTGAAGGGCCCAGGCAGACCGGTGGGAGGACAGGATCAGGGCCTGCCTTTAAGCCAGCTCAGTCTACGTGAGTGGGCCAAGAGCCCAAGGGCCCACCACATACCTGGAATTCAACATCCCATTTTATCCTCAACATCAACTTTATAGTTGAAGCTATCAAAGTGGCATCAGGATAGCGGTTATTTCAGGAGAAAATGATCTGTAGCAGCCTTTAGCTGTACTGGTCATGTTTTTCTGAAGCTGGGGAGTGAGTACACAGGAGTCCATTCTGTTCATTATCTTTTGAATGTCTTAAACGTTTCATGATCATAAAGGCAAAACGAAGTTGCTCTAAATCACCAACTGCCTACTGGACTTTGAAGCCCACGCTACCTTCACCAAACTACGTAAAAGTAGGAAGACAAGCCACAGCAGAGACGCATCATCTAAGTGTACTGAACGCAGCTGACCCCTCTTAGTGCCGGGCAGTTTCTGGAACTGAGAGCACGGCTCATCCGCGTGGCGCACACACGGACACAGAAGGAAGGAGGGCCCGAAGGAGAGCACGCGGCATGGAGGGAGGACCAGGGCTGGAATCCAGAGGACACAGCACGGAGCCAACCAGAAAACCGAGAGGGGTGTCCCCGAGTCCCGGGAGAGCAGCTGCTGGAGCTGGGGACTGGCTTCTCCCGGAGCAACCTCAGCTCCAACGCCAGCTCAACATTCTGGAGGCGCCCCAGCGCGGAGAGCGGAGATGGAGCCTCCGCCCGCCACCTGCTGCCCGTGGGGTACCGTTCCCTCCCATGTGAACTGCAGGTAAGAGGATGCACCCGATGGCGAACAACGCTGACGAACGCCCGGGATACTCCGCAGGTTCAGCATTACAGACGAGCACAGCACCTGCGCGTTCCTGCCAGGGAAGCCCGACTTCGGGAGTTCAGCCAGCACTTACCAAGAGTTTCAGCATCTCCTTAGTGTCAGGATCCACTTCAATGATCTCCTGATCCAGCGCTGACACCTAGAGGGAGCAGGCAGGCCCCAAATCTCCGTCAGCGAGCGCTCGCACCTCCAGCCTTCCCGCCGGGATTCCTCCACGAGCGGACCGACGGGAGGGGGAGGGCGGGGGACGGGGCAGGGCCGCCGGCCCCAGGACAGCTGTGGAGCAGCATCCACGAGGCTTCAAAAACCTCCGGGCCAGGTTCGTCCCTCAGGACGCCACGCTCGGGCGATGGTGGAACAGGGGCCCCGACTGCAGCCGTCACACCAACATGGCTGCGGCGCTCAGGTGCAAACCCGACGGCCCCGACAAGGCGGACGGACGGACGGACAGACACACAGACACACTAGGGCGCCCACGGCAGGTGACGGGGCGCGCGGGCTCAGGGCCGCCTCAGGCCGGCCGACGGGTCTTGGACGCGCCAGCACCCGGGTTTACCTCAGGCACGTAGTTGTCCCTCCGCTCGCGCTCCTCCTCCTGCAGCTTGATAGAGATGCCTCTCACGGGGCCGCGCTGGATGCGCTTCATCAGGTGGGTGACATAGCTGCGGGGACGCCGGCCGCGCGGTGAGCGCCCCTCTGCCCCGACCGCCCCCCCACCGCCGGCGCACGGTCCCCTCCCGCGTCCGCGGCCGGCGGGCGCCCCGACTCACCCCGCGATCTTGTTGCGGAGCTTCTTGCTGGGGATGATGGCGATCTCCTCGCACACGCGCTTGTTGGTGTGGAAGTCGTTGCCCAGGCGCGTGTAGTACTTCTCGATGATGACCCGGGCCGCCTTCTTCACGGTCTTGGTGCGGACGCGGCCCTGCGGGCGGGGCGGACAGGGTCACCCGCGAGCCGGGACGGGGCTCCCGGAGGAGCGCGCTTCGCGGCGGGGCCCCCAGGAGGAGAGGGGGGCCGGCCGGACGGCGCCGGAGCGCGGGGTCAGCGCTGAGGCCAGCGGCCCGCGGAGGCTCCGGCCTGACGGGGCGCCGCGGCCCCCGGCCCGGAGCCTCTCCCTGCGGGCGCGGGCGCGCAGAAGGCGACGGATGGAGGACGATTGTGGGGGACGGCGGCCCGGGGCCAAAACACCTACCATGTCGGCGGGTCACTGGTGAAAGAGGAAACAGGAAGCACAAGAGAGGCCTATAAAGCGCGGGCCAGAGGGCCGCTTCCTCCCCGCCCGGCGCGCCCCGAGCCGACGCGAGCGCACCACGCCGCCCCCTGGCGGGCCGGGGCGGGACTGCAGGCGGGCGGGGCTCGTGCGCCGCGGGCCGCCCCACCTCGGGCCTTGCCTCTCGGCGCTCTGCTCCGTGGCGGGACCGCCCGTTCGATGCGGCCTAAACTAGGGGAGGCGCGTCCTTTCCCCACGTGCCAGGGAGAGGGAGCTTGGGAAGGTGAGGCAGTAGGGGATGGCGTCCCCCAGGACCGCCTCCGTCCAGCCCATCGGAGACAAGGGCACCACAGGGAGGCTTCTCTCGTTCCTCCCGTGGCTTTGCTCCAACGTCACCTTGTCGGAGGGCTTTCCCTTCAACTGACAGAAAACAGTACCGCGCTCGCATCTCTCAGCACTTACCAGCGATGTGTCAGCGTCCTCAGCCCGGGAGGAAGGGCCATCCTAGCGGAGCTGTCCCCGCTCCTGGAACCTCAGACCTGAAGCGCAGCGCCTCCTCCACCTGCTGCTCCCAACGGCTGAGGGCACGCGCGCCAGCCGCGGTCTTCAGGCTCCTCCTGCCACCCCATCCCTCAGTCAGGCCCTCCTGAAGCCACCGGCACAGGCACCCCGGTGGCCTCATTAGCCTAGCAGTTCCCTGTCCCATGCCTCCACCTCTGCGCTTCCCAACCCCGCCGAGGCCGAGCTCTAGGCTCCCACCCGACTTAAGGGTGGGCTGGCTGGCTGGTCAGGCTGGAGGAGTGAAGGGGCACGAGGCCGTGCCTCATCCCTCAACTCGCCTGTCACCCTGGCCAGTCCAGTGACAGACTCTGAACTGACTGGGAATGAAAGGCTGAAGGACTGGAAGCCCTCGCCCTGAAAGCAGCCCCTGGACAAGAGAGGGACGGCGGGGAGAAGAGCTGCCCCTCCGTGGAAACGGACTAAGGGGAGACCAATAGGAAGGGCCCACTCTCCTGGGAGAGCCACGGAGCTCACTTCATCAGCAAACTCCAAACGGAGCTGCTGCCGGGCAGGCCTCAAGTGGAGGCGGCGGCCCCTCCTTCATCCCCGACAGGAGTGGGTTCCCGGCCCTCTCACAGAAGGGATGCTTCAGTACACAAGGTTCCCTCCAGCTCAGGCTAAGATGGAATCTTCCAGAGGATCAGGGCGGCAGCTGGGCCCAGGCACAGCCCACCTGGAAAAATCATCAGCAGACCCTCTCACAAATCGTGGGAGTCCGGGAGAAAGAGTCCAGATAATAGGGCTCTGAAGAACAGTGAAGTAAACTACTGTCTCTCAGAAAGCACCCGGCGCAGCATAGAGCATGGGAAGCCTCCGAAGAACCCGGCCTGAGGCTTACGGGAGCAGCCGCGCCTCCAGTTCTCCAAGCTGGGTCTGCGGCTATGAGAGGAGGAGCCCCAGAAGCTTAGGTGCAAAGGTTTCCACACTTGGACTAGTGGTACCCATCCGCCAGAGAGACATCTTGAAGGTGCATTTGACCACAGAAGTGACCAAGAAATACTTACAGGGGCAGGTCTCCCACGTGGCCCCACCATCAACCTGGGCTGGAATCCCACCACAGAAAATCCAAGGAAACATGTTTTTCCTCTGCAGTCTTACTACCTCCAGGGCCCCCTTGCTCCCACACCTCCGACACAGAGACGAAATCAGAATTCTGCTGCAACGTGTTTATTATGTGCCAAAAAAACTACACCACAGCTTACTCCACACATCTGTAGGAGAGTGCAGTCTTGCCTGCATATACTACAATGAGGTAGAGACTTCACACACAGCTTCACAAAACCCACAGAGTAGCTGGGATATGCAACAATGCAACGTCAGCTCAGCAGGAGGGAGGAGGGGGGGGGTTATGACACTGGTTCTTTGGCACACAGCTTCCCAAAGAGGGGCAAGTAGGTTTTTTTTTTAAAAAAAAAAAAAAAGAAAGAAAGAAAGAAAAAGTCAAGTTTTCAAATTCCAGTAGCATTTCAGTCGACTGCAACTGTTGCTTCATACATTTCTCAAATGAAAGAAATAAGGGAAGGGTACTTGTCCCCTCTAAGAGAAAGGGCTCCTGTGAGCCTTCATCTGCCCCCACCGAAAAGCAGCCCTTTTATTAGCTCAGTTACAAAAGAAAAAAGTCCTGTGACTTTGTGATTAAAAACTTCTATCAACCCTCCCCCCCACATAAGTGCAACTTAAGAAGGTGCAATAAACCATTTAAAACTATATACAGCAGCCGCTCAAACGCCGTTTATCCGGTCCAGTTTCAAATCCAAAAAAAATTTTTTTTCTTGGTTGCAAATGCCTTGATTCGCAACTGTGAGAAACAGTGACCAGCAGTCCCCCAGACACAAATTTGCTATAATGTTAAAAGCTGCCAGGAAAGAAAAAAAATCTCTTGTTCCAAACGACTTAAAAACTGTTTTAAGGAGTGTAAAAAGGAACCGGTAAAAACCCTCGAGCGTAAAATATGAAATATGATTTTGGTTTAAATGAAGAGCAAAGTCTCCTTGTTGTTTACAGTAAAAAACACCAGCTGAACACTCAGTTTATGCCGTTCAGGTGGGGGTTAAATAAATGGAAAGGCACTGTATGGCAACTGCAAGAATGAAACCAATGAGACCTGCGCATCATCACCATCAGTATTGCAAGGAATGTAAAAAAGCGCTTTTAATAAATAAACCTAGATGTAGGCATCGTGTCAATACCTTCTGGACACGTAGTTCTTTTTTGCTTTTCATCGGCAAAATGAGGAACTAAAATCTGGGAAAACTACAGAGTCGCTGGGAGGGGAGCCAGAGGATCTTTGCCCTGGCACACCCCCTGAAAACAAAACCCGACAAAACTCATTGTGCATTAATTAGTGCAGAAACAAAGACAGATTCAGCAAGTGCAAAGGTGACTACGATTTTCCCTTGTCCTCGGGAAGCCAGCTCCCTGGTCGCCAGTGGCAGGGTGGTGCAGGCTGCTGCCTGACCTGCCAGCCTTGGGCGCCACAGGCCACTGGGCAAGACCAGCTCCTCTAGCTGGAATCTCGGTTCTTCTGGTTCCGCATCAGGGGGCTGTGGTGGCGCAGGCCTTCCATGCTGTGCCGCCAGTGCCAACAGCTCCTGCAGAAGTACTTGAAGCACACCTGAGTTGGGGGTAGAAAACGGGAGAGAAGTCATGCCTGTGTCAGCACAAGCCAGAGGGGCTGCTGCATGAGCTGCTTAATCTGCTTGAGAGGGAGTGGGACATTCCTGATGGCCACTGTGGGCTTAGAAGAGATGGTCTCGGGGAACGCTCTCACCCCTAACACAGAGGCCTAACCAGCCATGGCAAATCCACTGTCTGTGTTTCTGTGGGTGCCCTGACTTAGTCAAACATGCTGGTCTCCTACTGTGTGCAGACTGTGCCAGCTTCCTTCATCCACTTACCACCACAGCTGCTCTTCTAGTCCCCTGCCCTTCGCACCTCCTACAGAGTAGTTGTATCACATGGCTGCTAATATGGCAGAACATTTAAAGTCGGTGACTCCAGATGCCAACATGACTTCCTCTTCACAGTAAGTGAGGAGAAGTGACTGGGTATGTACCTCAGGCTCAGTCCCACCTCTTGCTAGCTGTGTAACCTCAGGTAAGCCACTAACCTCTGAGCACTTATCTGAAAATGAGGATCTGTGAAAGACACTGACACATGAAAGCCTGCTAGAAGAGGCTGATCAGAGAGAGACTTGTTCTCAGGTTTTATCCAGCAGCCTCCACACCCTCATTTTGGAGCCTCAGTTTAACTACTATCTACCCAGAGACTCTAACCCTGAGAGACAGCACAACTACAAAAAAACTTAAGCATGGATGGACTGCTGGTGACTGAATAGGCCCCAAACTTCCCCTAACACTGGTCAAAGTATGTTTAGACCAGCACCACTGGCACCACTTGCAAACTTATCAGAAATACAGAATCTCAGGCCCCATTCCAAAGCCAGTGAATCAGAATCTGCATTTAAACAAGATCCTCAGGTGACATGTATATAGATTCACATATGAGCAGCTCTGCCAAAACAGACCCAGATCCATGCTCCACCACAGAAACATTCAACAACAAGCTGCCACGCTGCTTTCTGCCTGTTTCTGACAGCTGTGGGTACAAACCAGGTACAAATATCAAGAGTCTAGAGGTTCAGGAGGAACGAAGGGGTCCTTGGCAGGTAAAAAACAATCCAGAAGGCCTCAGAGTTAGGAAACAGTGCTCATAAGTGCTGCTAACCACACCCATCCAGGTTCCTATCATCCTCAAAAATGCCTATCAGCAATAGTGCCATGCTGCATACTGACACCCCTGGCAAGGAGGAGGCCCAAGTGTCAAGACAACTCAACGAGCTTTCCCAAGATCTGGGTCAAGCTATCAAAGTGTATCCCTGGTCTGATCATCAGCAAACATTACTGCTGCCTTCTCTATGCTTTCTTAGACAACCATGAGGTACCCGAAAACTCCAACATTCTATGTGACAAACATGGAATGACAATTTTTAATTGAGGGCAGGGACTTCCTAGACATCTCAAGTGCCCAGGGGACTTACCTGATCTCGACAGAAGAAAGGACCAGGCTGAGAACTGCAGATATGACACAGAGAATCTTCTAGGTAGGGGTCAATCTGAACCTGCACAAAGCAAAATAGGACAATGAAGTGGCTCGGCTCTTCTCACAAGGTCGTCAAATGGGCTAGAAGAGCAGAGCACATTGCTGAGCAATACATATGAATGAAGGACGTTTCCCGTTTTAAAGGGGACCTAGAGAAACTTATGGGCAGAGAGTACAGAGATTCTAGAGGACAGATGCACACACCATGCAGAGCCAGGCTGGCCACCTCCGCAATTTGTACAACCACATCCATTACTGCCCGGTCTTCTCAGCACACTGTACCCCAGCCCTCTAGCACCCAGCACCAGGCAAGCATTCAGAAGATGTGGGTCAGGTTGGAGAATGGGAAGTTGGGCTGCTAGCAGTGCCGGTCAAATACCCCCGTGAGGGAAGGCACCTCACAGGCTGAGGAGGCTCCCCTCCTCTTGAGCCTGCCAAGACCAGGCCCACTCACCTTCTTGGTGAACTTGGTGGTTTTGATCTCCACAAAAGCAGCACTGACTGCTTTCAGGTAACTACGTTGGTTATTGAAAGTCACGCGACCAGACCCTAGAACAACAAAACAAACTTACCTTCTAGCCAAATTCTCCCAAATGCTACCTGCCAACACCCAGCAAACTCTGTTTCTACACCAGTGCTGTCCACCAGAAAGATAACGTGAGCTACTTGTGTAATTTTGTTTCCTAGTAGCCACATTTAAGTGAAAAGAAAATGGTAGAATTAATTTTCATAATATATTTTATTTAACCCAAAATATCAAAAGTATTATTGTTTCAACACACGGCACTAGCTGCATTTCAAGCACTCAGTAGCCACACTTAGCTGGTGGCTGCCATATCAGACGGCACGGTTATAGACCATGATGGCACAAACCGTTCAGGAATGGGGGAAGGATTTGCTGACTGAAAGGGGGAGAGAAGTGACTCCTCTGGTGTAGGCAGATGCACAGGTAAGGTTAAAAGGGTTCAGCATGAGAACTAAGATGCAGCCAGAACAGCTCGCTGAAGGTGGCCCAGCCTTCAAAGCCCTCCTGGCCTGGAGGCACTCCAGAGACGTGGCAGGGGAGCTGGAAGAAGCCTCATCCTGCCAAGTGCCGCCTCTGCGATCCCTGTTCTCAGTCTGCGGTGCGGCAGTGATGAGCACATGGTGCTCCTTCCTGACCACATGCAGCGTGGGTGGGCAGACCCAACATTTGGGAAGGTGGGTTAGCGAGGCCTTGATCAGAAAGTTCACGCTCTGCTCTACCTCCAAACCCCACCACTGAGACTATTCTGTCATGACTGGGGGAATTGATCTCCTTTCTCAGAGGGGCTGACCAAAACTCCAGTGGTTAGGCCCACAGACTCCCCTAAGGTAGGACAGCATAGGCCATGCCTATACTCTGTTGTCTGAGTGACCCAGAATCTTCCTTTAGTCTGACCTGGTCTCTGACCTTAGCCAAGGCTACTTTTTAAGAACTCTTAATAAAAGAAATCAGGCAAATTTAGGCAAGTCCCAGCCTTTAATGAAATATTACCTGTTTTCTGTCCCAGACTGGTTTGGCTGTGAACTCTGAGCTTCCAACCAAAGTTACTGCTGTCTCATTTGGTCTCCTATCACTTTTTTATCCCCCTTCATAGGAGGTGAGGGGAGAGGGGTGGGTAGAGGGGTCAGTGTTGGTGGCTCATCTAGAAAAAGATGCTATGCTATTGGTATATGCTGATCTGCAGACCTAGGTCAGGCCTCCTTCTCCAGTCCCACGGGCAAGTATCACAATCTTGGTTTATATCCCAGGGGCCACCAAGCTTTCCTACACAGAAGTGGGACACTTACCAATGGGATATTTGTGCTTATCTGTGTCAATCCCAGCATACACCACTCCACCAAATAGGTCATTCAAAATGGCTGCCAGGGCCTCGGCATTGAGCATCCCATGCAGAGCACCAACAAACACTGTCCTGCTGGGGTCAAGTCTCTGAGATGGGCTCCGGACAAAGTTGCTGTCGGCCAAGACCCAGGGGATCACTTGCACCTGAAAACCACCCAAAGGTCTATTAGCTGGGGCAGGGAGCCAGAGAGAGAGAGAGAGGCTCTTGCATGGAGAGGCACATGTTCTGGAGATGTTGATGCTGGGGCTGCTGAGGCCACACAGTGGGTGAGAAGGGGTTATCACCCCATCTGAGGCACATGGGCATTCAAGAAGCCACCCTCACCCCAACCCAACGAGGTCTGAATTTTACTGAGTCCATGTGTCCAAAATGGTGGAAATAAGTGGTAAAACAGCAGTCACTCATCCTGGAGAGCAAGCAAAACAGTACCAGACTGTCATACCCAGGAACCTAGCACTGTCACAACCTTCAATTGTGTGGTTTCAACAAAGGACCACGGACACTGATGAATTGACAGCATGATCTGGAGTCCTTGGGAGAGGGAAAATTCATAGAGAAACTAAAGGACAGAAACTTGAAGGACAGAGGTTAAGGTATTTGTACGAGGTGGGTACTGGCCCAAAGTACACATTCGAGGGCTTGTGTCAGGAGCAGTGGGAATAACCGGAGACGGGTAGGGTGAAAAGACATGCGCAGCAGAGCACTGAGGGCTTGCAGAGCAGTGTAACACTAGGGCAAGGGCTGACCATGTCCTTTGCCTCTGAATCCCCTGATCTTAGAACAAAATCTGGCATAGCAGGCAGAAGACCCCACAATGAAGTGAGTTGACCAGTAAGGGCTTTTGGAAGATTAATCTGTGACGAGTTAAAAAAGAAAAAAAGTGTCAAAGCAGGATTTGAGGTAGAAACCAGTAAGGAGGCAAAAACAGTAGTTCAGAGGACAGGAGATGAAGACAGGAGAAGGTTGGTGGCATTGGGCACAGAACAGGCCACGACCAAGAAGAGTCTGTAGAATTCAGACTGCATGGGCATGGTGGGAAAACAAGGAAGAGTCAGGACTGATGGGCTCTAGGCCTAGATGACCTTGGGGTGAGAGAGCCAGGCAGAAGTCACTAGAGGGAGCCAGTTTCACTGGAAGATGAAAGAGCCTACTTTGCTTTTTCCATTCCCATCGGGAAGTATCACAATCTTGGTTTACATCCCAGGGGCCACCAAGCTTTCTAAGCTTTTTCTTACACTAAACAGAAGAGTTTGGGATTACAGGATGTCCCAAAGAAAAGCCCCACAAGAAGGTGAGACTCAAGTAGGAGATGAAACTAGAGAGGTGAGTCTGGGTCTAAAAGGTAGAGCAGAGCCACAAAAGTGATTAATTTATCTAACTGGGAGAGAAGAGAAGAGGGAGTCAATTACTGACTACATTGGTGGTGGGGAAGGGAAGCATGAAGGAAACAGAACAGTCAGAGAGGCAGGAGAACGAGGGCAGCCTGTAGTCAATGCATCAAAGAAAGATCTTAAATCACTGCAAGGTGATGAGGAGGGAAAAGGAGACAGGAAGGTGTCAGCAGGGGTGATGAGGAGGGTGAGGGGTTCTGTGTATGGCTATGGAGCCTCTCATTATGAGCAGGGGACATATTAACTAAGTCCTAGAATGTAAGGTGGGATAACTGCATGAGCTCCACACAGCAAGAAAGGAGAGAAGGCAGGGAAGCTGTGGGTCACTGTGGGCAGCCAGAAGATAAACTTATCCTGTTACTAAGACAAAACGTGAACTAACACCAGGAAACATCTATAAAACAAAGAGCCAGCTTTGTTACATGGACTATTTTAAATCCAATGTGACCATCTCAATAAAACAGGCATTTTTTCCCCTTTATCCTACAGATTTTAATAGACTTTACTTTCTAGAGCAGTTTTAGGTTCACAGCAAAACTGAGGTTGAAGTACCAAGTCCCCATATACCCCCTGCCCCGCAACATGCACAGCCCCTCCAGCTATCAGCAGCCCCAACAGAGTGCTCGTTGTTACAATCAGTGAACTTACACTGACACATCATGATCACCCAAAGTCCACAGTTTACATCAGGGTTCACTCTTGCTGTTGTACTTTCCATGGGTTTTGACAAATGTTTAATGACATGTATCCACCATTAAGTAGCATACAGAACAGTTTCACTGCCCTAAAAATCCTCTGTGCTACACCTATTCATCTCTCCCTACCCCATAACCCCTGGCAACTGCTGATCTTTTTATTAAAATAGGCATTGCAATTCCCTATTTTACAGATGAGGAAATGAAGTTTCAGAGACATCAAATATCTAGTCCAATGTCACAAAAGTGATGTGCCCTGAAACCAGATTTTAAAAAACAATACTCACTCCTGAGTGCAAAGCTTCCTTTGACAAGTGGTTCTTAGACACCGTCCGCTAGAACCACCTGGGGAACTTGGTTAAAGTGCAGATTCTTAAGCTCCACCCACAGTGATTCAGTAAGTTTGAGATAAGGCCCAAGAATATGCAGTGAGGTTCCCAGGTAGCTTAACTCTGTGCTAGAGACCCGTGATGCTAATGCCACACAAGGCTGATACTAGAAAAGGTCTAAGAAAATCACATGGAGAAAACTACCTAGCTAACAAAGCCCTGAATGGGAATGAAGAAGTGATCCATGGATGGGTGTGGGCTAAAGAGGAATTAACCCACCACAGATTGGGAGGTCAGAAGGCACAGCCTGTGGGCAGGACCAGAGAGAAACAGCTATAGATTATCAGTTAAGTCCAAGTAGAGAAAGCTGCTGTTTTCAATTTCATTTCTAAGACAAGAAGTTAGGGACAGAAGTGTTGTCTAGAATAAAGAGTAGAACACAGCTAGGAGATAGTTTGACCTCCATGGAAAGGAGCACACATACACCATTAAGGCCCAAAGGTTGTTGATTGTTTATTTTAATGTAACTGAGAGCATTTTGTTTTATTGACTGTGGGGCAAGAAGAGCAGCCTTCCTGCCTCAGTGGGACTACTCACCTTCAGCCTGCATATCCACCCACCCCAAGGAAATCCACTGCCTCAGACGCCAATCACCCTGACCCCGAAATGACATCAGGCCAACTCACCTCCTTGCAGCGCATCCTTCGGCTGGACATCTTGAAATAATATTCACTCAGGCCATCTGGGCTTAGCGGGTCATGGGAGCAAGCCTGAAGCAGGGCCCGGACAGACTTCTCTAGTTCGAAGACCAGATACACATACCCTATTCCCAACGAAAGGAGAGATCGTATTAACATCCCTCAAGCAGCTGGCTACTCTTCAGCCTTGGTTTTACAGCAGGGAGTTTCTTCGAAGAGAGATGGCCTCATGTGTAAGATACATTTTTCTCCTACCCCTGAAAACTCCTGTTGAATGGAAGCACTTGCTATGCCCGATGCCCAGGCCAAGGGAGGGAGAAGCGCACCATCTCCCACCCTAGTAAGGGAAGAGATAGGCAAGGTGGGATAGAGGATCCCACACAGCTCTTTATCCCAGAACACAGAGCATGTGCAGGTCAGCAGAGCCAGGCTTTCCTGGGGGCAGGAGGGCTGGCAGGTCTGTAGCCAGTTTGCCCGAGGATGGAGGTATTGCTTTAAAAGCCTAGTTAGACCACTGGTTCAGTTCATCAGAACATTTTCAGTGAAGATGGGGCAGAATGAAAATAGCACCTGCTCCTTTCTACAGGGAGGGGATCTCATTTCAGACCAGTGAGGAATCAGATGTTTGGTCCTCATTCCTGCCAACTCCAAAGGGATCTTAGAATTAGGTCAGGCAACAACGTAACTGGGCAGGAAAGGCCGGAAAGGAAAGTTTTTCAAACGCCTCGTTTTGAGAAGAAAGAAGCTGCTTAAGTTTAGGAGTGAAGTGCACAAGGAAATTTCACACGGGGGGTTTCAGAGGCAGCTCCAACTGCAGTATGTTTGTACAGACGAAACAGCAGCTCAGAGGAAACAGAGAGATGTGCTAGGTCGAAGAGAAGTGCTGACAGATGAAAGTTCTGTGCTCTGGCGTGCCCAAGTCATGTTACATGCAGCTGTGACATCCCAGCACCCCTCAGTGCAATTACGTACTAGGGAGGGGAAAAAAAAGCTCCTACCATGTCTTTATTACCTTTAGGCATATTACCTTTGGGAGGACACCGGGGGTGCTTGCCATCCTTACCAGGCCATTCCACACTCAAAGAGCCAAAAACACGGAAGGTGTTAACCAATCCAGCTGCAAAGAGATGGAAAAGAACAGCAGAAATTGAGGCACCATCTTCCCTAGGGAGGCGCAGGATCACCAGCGGTCTCCCAGACTCACTCCCCTGACAAACAACTCAGAATTGACCTTTGGTCTCAGGTGACCAGTGCAAGCACCAGACACAGAAGCACTATGGGAGTCTATGAAATGCACCTCTCCCTTCAGCTGCTCCTGTAATACTCGCTCAGGCAGAGGTTCATCCCTGGCCTCAAGTCCAAGTTTCATGCTCCTGAAAGACATGCCCCACATTCAACGCCTGAAGCAGGAGTTCTCAGAGGCAGCTCACCTTCCGTAATATCCCAAGGAACACCTCCTAGGAACACCTTGCAAGAATAGATGGGGTTCTTGTAGTTCCGGGGAGGAAGCTGGCCACTCCAGGTACAGGTGGCTTCATTCACAGCTTTGGCAGAAGACAAAGAAACAGGGGTCAGAGAATCAACAGAGTCATTGCCCTTCTCCAGGGTGAACTGTCCACGAAGAACAAGACAGGCCACAGTCCTGGCCTGCCTGCCTGGTGGAACATCCATGACTACCCTGAAAGGCAAGGAACCTTCCTCCTCATCAATCCAGTCAGCCCAGTATGATAACCCTAATTCACTAATTCTGTCTCCACGAAAACTGACAGGAACAGCAAACCAGACGTGTAGGGTAAAAATGATCACATCCCAAGCTATTTTCAAACATATAACTGATAGACTAACCACAAAGCAGGTTTATGTAGTCATTGTTTACAATACTAATTAATTTAAATTTATAATCACTTAACAGGAAACAGCAATTTTGTATACAACATCCTTTAGGTCTACTGATCCAAACTGGCCTTCTCCCCAAATGTTCAAACGAGGAACATTCTACTCCGTTTCCCTATCTTCACTCTGAACGCACTGATTACAGAAGTTAGGACACTGCCACTAAAAATCACCACTAGCAACCCAACAAGAATATCAGAAGTGTTCCCCAAGTCATAACCATGCCCCATCACTGCCAGGGCTATCCTCAGAGTACCTGAACGGACACTGGGCCTTCCTTGAGGCCTACACTGTAAGATAACGGATTTTCCCCCAAGCCCTTGCTTCCAGTTTATACCAAACACAAATATGTCCAAACTCACTGTGAAGTTTCTCTGACTCTGACTCAAACACCTCTTTAAGAAATCAGCCCTTGCTATACAGAGTAGAAACTCACTTCTACTTGGCCTCCCCTGACAATTTTAGGCCTCTCTGTTCTTGGTGACTAATTCAGCCTCCTATCAGTCTTTAATCCTGTCCCCACTGAGTCTCTGCCTTTCCAGATCAGAGATTGACCCTAGTGGGGACTGGCTAGTCCTTTCCCATTTAACTCTCCTCCTTCAGCACTGGGGCAGATAGCCAATGGAAACAAACCATCATTTTCATTCAGGCAATGACGTGGAAGGCCATTCTCTAAAAGGCACAGGCCCAATGTGTTGCTACAGCAAAAAATTGGGCACTATCAGCAATATTTTGCAAACAAAAATAGAAGTCGATATAATGGCCTCATCCAAAAGCATGGTAATGTCATTTCATAGGAAAACAATGGCACTAGAGAAAAACCATTAAGTGAACAGAGCAGCAGCACTATTAGGGGAGAATAAGATCAGGTCTAGGTCTGTGAGTAGAAAGACAGACATACTAAAGTCTATGGAAATGAATGGAGAACCCCAACATTCACTTAGTCATCAACTCCAGAACCTTAGAGTAGCGGTCAGTGAGCATCTCCCTGAAGCATTAGTAAACAATGAGGTACATAACTCATTTACTTCCAAGTACCGGTATAAAATGAAAAAAGATTTAATACGTATTTAAGATAATTTAAATGCCAGAACCCAAGGGTTCCTAAGAGATCAGGACACTTGGGGACATCCCTCAGAGGTTGACAAATGGACCACCTAACCCCCCACAGTGCATCCCTGAGTAAACCAATCAGAAAGCCCTGAAAAAGAAAGCTCCTTTGAATTTGAAGAGGAGGAGGTAGACCAATTTCTGGGTATCATTTCCAGGGTTTCTCTTGAAGATACTCACCCACGAAAATCAAAAGCAAGAGCAGCATACAGCCAATCTCCACATAAGAGCACAAGTGAGAGATGGATCCAACATGGGGACAGCCCTGTGCACCAGATTATCTGCCTCCTTCCTCCCTGCTCAGCCTCAAAGAAGTTCCTGAGTTCGTCCCCACCAGCACCTACTCCACAGAACAGACCATTCTTTGCAGACCCAGAGACTTCACCATGCACCCAGTCCTCTTCTAGACAGTTAGCGAGTCTGTGAAACAGGGTCACTTATTCTCTGTTCCCAGAATGAGGCCTCAGGCCTCACGCATGCCCACAGCCGCACTCACCTGCAGCTTGCCGGTGCAGCCTGGCCTCTCTCTCTATGCTGAAGGGGTCTTTGGGAGCTTCAAGGAGGTCCCAGGATGGCCACACAGAAGCTCCTGGCCATCTCTTTGATGCACTGGTTGGGGAGGGAGTGACTGCAGCGAGAGCAGCTTGCTCTTGGTCCATCCGGGATCCAACCCCCATCTTTAAAGGGTCTCTGGGGCCACCCCCTGTCAGAGACAGGAAGGGCAGAGGAGGGGAAATGCGAAGGCTTGACTAGGGGAGGAAAAAGGAAGATACAGGTTTTTAAAGAATAGTTTTGTTAGAAAAGTAACAATCACACTATAGAAATTATGAAAAATACCATTTCGCCATTTGATGTATTTTCTTTTAGACTTTCTTCCTATGCATTTTAAGATTAGTTGTCCTTATGCTATAGTTTAAACAAATTCTTTTCTCCACAATTCAACATTTTTTTCATATTGCCCGTCTCCATAATCATTTTTAATTAACTTACGATATTCTATTTAGGGAACAAGGTACATTTCAAGTTTTTAGGATTATAAACAAAAACTTTAAGGTGTGGCTTCCTTATATTTTGTGTTTTCTCTGGTCGGGTTCCGAGATGTTGAAAGTCAAAATGCCTTCTAGGAGGGTTCTGCCTTCTATTAGAAATGGCGAGAACACCAGTTTCACTACAACCTTGTGTCAAGGCTTTAAAGTCTACTAATTTAACTGGGTAGAAACGATATGACATCAAAAAAACAAATGAAAATAATTACTTAAACAGAATATTTCCTGTAAGTTAAAATACTCCCTCTATTTCCTCTTCTGTGAGTTGTCTGTCCATATTTCTTTATCAACTAACCCTTGGGGTGGGTACCTGAGAAAGTTCTTTAAACAAAATCCCCAAATATTAAAGCTAGTTATGAGGTAAATTTTGAAGACTGAGCCCATCTAAAGTAACATAAACAGAACTAGAAGCACCTCATTTAACCCTATTTTATAGGGGAGTAAACTGCAGCCCAGAGAATCAAAGGGATCTGCTTGTGATTACCCTTCTGGAAACACATCCTGAACAGATAAAATCAATGAGTAGTGAAATCCTGCTTTCCTCTTCTAGGACAGGCTGACAGCAGACAAGGTGGGTCCTAAAAGGTCATGCTATGAATGGGAAACTGCAACCACAACCAAGGCTGCCAGTCCTGGATATGGAAGAGAAGAGGGTAGGAAAGTAAGCCACCCTGTTCATTGAACAGCAGTTCAGGAGATTCAGTAGTTGAGAAGCCAGGTTCACAAGGCAGCTGAAACTGTATTTTATTTTAGGATGATTTCTCACTGCCATTCACATATATTTAAAGTTCTATCCCCTATTCCTCATCCATTCTAATCCATTTGCCAACTCCACTTAGCATGGGTGCCACAACATCACACATGGCTGTGGATAAGGAGCACGAGATGTGTAAATTAACGCTGAGGCAGTATTTTAGATTCACCATGGCTCCAGACTGAGAGTTGGTACAGGGGTCAGTGAAAAGACTACAGGAACCAGAGCCAGTCAGATCTAGATCAAAATCCCAGCCATGCTCATTACTAGCATGCAATTTTTAAAATCACCACTTAAAAATTTTGACATATTCCACGTAAAGCTACATAAATGATATTGTTTAAAGGCTAAAGAAAACAACAGTGTAAGTCAAGAAACAGAACACTGCCCAAACCCCCATATTTACTTTTGCAATAGCTTTTTCCAAGCCGCCCTTAGAGTGACTTGTAAAAAGACAGTCCTCAGCTCAGGTCCTGAAATGTATTGCTCAACGGGTACACAAAGCATCCTCTATTCTGTTGAGGTTGAAAAGTTCTGTACACGTCCACAATGGCCTCCACTCCTCCTGCCATGATTCCACCTCCCAGCCTGCATTCTAGTGGACAACGCATCCCACTTCAAGCTCACTCTCCCTCCCTACCCCACTCCCCAACAGGTTACATACAATCAAATCTGAGAGATGATCTGATCCAGAGCTGAAGCCACTAGTATCTGAGTCCGAGGGGCTGCTAGACCGGGAGTCCAGGATGGGTCGGGTGTCCAGGCGGGATCCTCTAACTGAGGGTGCTGGAAACTTGTCCACCAAGTCAGATCCAAGGGGGTCCAGAGGCAGGAAGCTCAAGGGGGGTTTCCCCAGGACATTGCCCAGTGGGTTGTGAAGCATGCTCAGTACTACGAAGGAAAAAAAAAAGAAAGTCTCATAACCTCAGTTTTCATCCCAGCCAAGAGTCCTTCCCTTTTCTTCCACTGTCACCCAACAAGATACACAAAGGCACGACCACTGATGGCACGACAGAACCACAGATAGCTAGAGTAACAAGGAGCAGATACACATTCAGTACTAACACTGGCCACCCAGGGCCCACTAGAGGCAATTACAGGATGGTTTTCTGAAAATCAGAGTTCCTGCTGTAACAATAGTAGCAAAATCCTACTCTCTGCCACTCAGGCTTAAGGGTCAGTGCCAGTATCTGGGGAACTCTGTGCCACTGGGGACACCGGTCACTGCTGCTATTAATGTCTGGATACACACACCCATGGTGCCATAGGAGATGCCTTCAGCAAAATTAGGAAGCCAAACCATACTCCTTCCTTCCTACCTGCCAACGTGTTTATTCGAGTTCCCACCTTTCTAACACTATATAGCTAAAATACAGAATTCCATGTCACACTCCAGAAGTCTGCTACAGCATGAGCACGCCTTCTCACCTGAGAAGTTCCCTTATGCAAAGTTCTAACGTACGCAGATTCTCTTTTATGCACCATTTTATGCAACATTTAGGATGGAAGAAGGACGTTGTAGTTAAGCCCGCTCTGGCTTAAGACAAAGCTGGGATGAAACCCTAGGTTTGACACCTCCTCTGTACAGCTGTGGGGAAGCTCAGAGTCTCCATTTTCTTATGGCGTCTTGGGTGGAATATCATCTATTTCATAACATTGTCAGGAGGGTTTAATAATTAAGATAGCAGAAGGAAAGTGCTCAGCAGAGCCGTGCCCAGCACACAATAAATATTTAAATATCAAACATCAGAAAATAGTGAAGCAGACAGAAAAGATAAGGGAGGTAAAGTGGACAGCAGAAGAGAGCAACATTTTTCCACACTTGGCCTTGGGGAAAGAAGGAGTCCAAAGCAAAGCACGTCCTTTAGCCGTGAGGACAAGGAATAAGAGGGCTTTGCCATGCAGCTGAGGTGCCCCTAAGGCTAGGGAAGAAGCCCTAATCTGACATATTTTTCACCTGAAGAAAGGAGAAAACATCCACCTCAAAATGGCTGTTGAAGTGAAACCAGAGCAATGCGTTTAAGTGTGTAAGTGCTCAACAAATGGTGGCTGTGGTTGGCTCTGCCTCACCGGTAACGGAGTGAAACACAGGTCACCACAGCTTGTGTCCTCTCAGGCTCCAAGTCAGTCTGAATGCCTGGCTGGGGCTGTGGCGAGTCCCAAGGGGCAGGAATAAACGTCTCCAAGCATGAAATCAATGTGAAAGCATGCTTTCAGGGTACCAGACACACATGCCATTTGTCACAGAGCATATGCCAAGATCAGACCAGCCCGCTCTCCTTTAGCCAAATGATCTCCCTTTCAGATAAGGTTAAGGTAGGTGTATCTTTAACTCTTTTTTTTTTAATGTAAGGGATATTGTGGATGTGGTTATTTTATTGTGGTAAAAATATCCTTAATTTTTAAAGAAACTGTCCTATTGTTTTCCAAAGTGGATGGACCATTTTACATTCCTATCAGCGCTGGTGAGGGTTTCCCTCCCTCCATGTCCTGGTCAACACTTGGTATGGTCAGTCTCTTTAATTCTCGCCAGTCTAATATGTGTGTGTGTGGGCAGGGTGCTGAACCACATACAGCTAAGAGTTTATTACTTATCTTATTACTTTGTTTTTTTTTTTTTTTAAAGATCTTATTTTTTTCCTTTTTCTCCTCAAAGCTCCCTGGTACATAGTTGTATATTCTTCGTTGTGGGTCCTTCTCGTTGTGGCATGTGGGACGCTGCCTCAGCATGGTTTGATGAGCAGTGCCATGTCCACAACCAGGACTCGAACCAACGAAACACTGGGCCTCCTGCAGCAAAGTGCGCGAACTTAACCACTCGGCCACGGGGCCCAGCCCCTTATTACTTTGTTTTTTAAGGAAACTTTTTTTTTGAGGAAGATTAGCCCTGAGCTAAATCTGCCACCAAGCCTCCTCTTTTTGCTGAGGAAGACTGGCCCTGAGCTAACATCTACGCCCATCTTCCTCTATTTCATGCAGGATGCCTGCTACAGCATGGCTTAAGAAACGGTGTGTATGTCTGCACCCGGGATCCGAACCAGTGAATCCCGGGGCTGCCAAAGCAGAACATCTGAACTTAACGGCTGCACCATCGGGCTAGCCCCAGGAAACATTCTCTTAAATAAACCTTTCAAAGCAGTTTCCCAAGGACGAGCAATAGTAACCAAGTGTCTCTCAACGCCTGGATTCTGACATCCATCAGAAATAATCTTTGCCAAACTCCTCAAATACTCTTGACAAACCCCCGCCTCTATGAAACACAAAACCAACCCCCTAGAACTCAGCCCCTGAGAAGGCAGGAGGTGGGAAGAGTTACCTGAGACGCCTCCCTGGGGCTGCAAAACCTGGCACAAAAGCACTTTGAAAACTAACAGATCGTACACATGGGTATCAACAGTGGTACCAAGGCCCTAGAGGGTCTCATGTTTCTTCACATTTTACAAACACCAGTTTAAGGTGGTGATTAATGAGGTAACAATCAAATCACAAAGAGCTTTGAAAACCAAGTTAAGGTGTTTAGACTTCATCCCGAAGGTAGCTGGGAGACACTGAAGAGCAGTTGTGGGGATGGCACAGGAGGCTGACCAGGGAAACTAAGGAAGACTGTCACTAGTACCCAGTGCCTAGGTGACAGAGAGACTCGAGTATTTAAAATCAGACTTGGGGGATTCTCTCCAGCAGTGTCAGGAACCTGGACAGACACTGCACACATATAGGGCTGTGATTTTTTTTCCACAGAGGGTGTGAAGAGGGAAATGGGACAACAGAGCTGATGGTAATAGCAACAGAGGAGATGAAGAACGAGTCATGCATTATAGATGAAAGACAAGACAGTCAAAAGATGGGAAGCAAACAGAAAACCACAATTCCAATGGGCTGACGGCCCCAAGAGGAACGGAGGGGGCAGACGGGACAAAAAGGAGGAGCTGGGACAGTGAAAACTGAATTCTGAGGATGGCAAGATCCAAGGTGTGCGACCCTCGGTGGCTGAAGAGGAATGCGTGGAGTCTAAAATATTGGGTAGGTAATCCATAAGGACATTAAAGTTACCCATGGGGATTACTGGGCCTGGGGTTAAAACAAACAAAAAACATACACTGAGATCTTCAGAGAAGGGGAAGGACTGGGAAATTGGTAAGGAAGGAACAAAAAGAATGACCCTGAGGGATATGGTAGATAAGACCTGGAAGAATGCGCAGCCTCCACTTGACAAGCAGCACCTACAGGGAAAGCCTCAGCGAAGGGAAAGCTCTGAGGAAGCTGGCACCGCTGACACAAGATAAAGGGCAGTGTGTTGACCCTAGAAAAGGGGAGCACAGTAGAGAGCTCCAAGAGTTGTCAAGGGAAACACAGCATAAAGGGGTATGCAGAAAAATGTTCAGCAAGAGATGGCTGGCCCAAAGGGCTTGTGTCTGGGGGCATTATAGATGACAAATATGGGTTATGGTAACTATGTCTTCACGTAAGGTTTACAAGAAATTATATTTGAGAGAGTCAAAAAGCAATATGGGTTCCCCCGTAGACCACTTTCTCATTCACATCAATGGTGTTCACTACTGGGTTGGTACACCTGTTCTACCAGCCACAAATCCACCTACCTCAACTAACCCACAATTATTTATTTATTTATTTATTTTTACCATGCCCACAAAGATATCTTGAGGCTTTGTCAAATTCCTGTGTCAAAGTTAGGAACTCTGTCTATGTCTACAGCCCTCCTTCAATCTGATGATAAGCCAGTCTAAAAAGAAAATGGCATGACAACCCACGTTGGCCACTAATGAACTCTACTTCCTTCAGTGCTCATAGTTCATGGTCACTCATCTGTTCTACAGTCTGGACCAAGTTCAGTCAAGCTCCTACCATTTGCTAATAGCAACTTCCATTCACTGCACATTGAGCACGTGCCAGACACTGCGCTAGAAGCACTTTAGGTAGATAATCTTCACTGAATCCTAACAAGTGGATATTACTGCGCCATCTTAACAAAAGGAAACCAAGGCTCAAAGGGTGTCTGTTTAAGTAACAGCTAGTGAGTGACAGAGTGGGACCCAGTTCTTTCTGGTTCCAAACTTTATGTTCTGTAAGGCACCAGTCACTAGCTACCTTTTTTTTTTTTTTTTTAAATACTCAGGACTTTACATCTTCTTGTCTTCATGTTCTTGACACACTTTTGTTCAAATTCCTTTAAGATCATCAACTGCAGACAAGCTATCTCACCTACCAGAGGTCAGTGCCTTGGGATCTAAATCATCCAGGTCTTAAAAACTTCTTTCGGGCCTTGCCACTGTAAGAACTCATTAAAAATGCATCTTGGGCCCCAATCCAGACTTACTGAATCAGAACCCACATTCTAACAAGATCCCCAGGAGATATGTATGCACATTAAAGTTTGAGAAGCACTAATCTAGAAAAACCTGAAGCTTGCTACTTCAAGCTTCTAATCAGTTTCCCTTACCACTCCCGGAAAATCTTTCATAGTAATTATTTCCCTTGACTTAAAAACTGTAGGTTATATAAATACACCTCTTACAGCACAATGGCAACACTCAAGAGAAAAAAAGAAACCAAGGTGGCTATATAGGACATTTCCCAAAGAGTTTGATCTCTGAAAACACTGGGGTGGGGGGAACGGACACGGCATAGACACAGACACACACACACACACAGTAACTAGGAACAAATAAAGAAGATAAAAAAGAGTGGCTTTTTTTCTTTTTAACAAGCTTTTTAAAGCCTCAAAAGCTTTTGTAAAGATATTTAGAGGCACCCATGTGTACAAAGTTCTGCCTTCTCAACCAAGCATGCCAAGGGCCGTCCTTACCACTCCACTCCAACAGTAATTAGCTCCACATCTGGCAGAAAGCAGGTGACCAGTGTCTGCAGAGCAGTACTGAAAGACGGGGAGTATCATAGCCCTTAGAGCCAGCATACTCACTGAGGCGGCTATGCACTTTCTTTCAAGGTTATTCAATTTAAGGACACAATGCTAACTAGATGCAACTCAGAACTAGGAGGAAAAACCTTAGTTCTTCCCTACCCTGCCCATCACCAAAAGAGAGGAAACAGAGGCTGAGAGAAGTACAGGTACTTGCCACATCAAAGTTGTGAGAATACGCCTTCCACTACTTTCAAATACTTTCTTCAAAGAGAAATGAACACACATAAATACAGGCTGAATAGAGTTACTCTGCTCAGGCTGACGAGAGTCACCTCCCCTGCCCAGGCCTCCCCAGAGTCTGCTGGGATCCTCACAGCCACTGACATATACTTCCACATTCACGCACAGGAGCAGGGAAGAGTGCCTCACTGAACACTATACCAACCACAAAGAAAAACAGGGGAAAGGGCTTGGAGTGATGGCCCAGAAAGGGGCAATGCCATTGGGCAAAGATGTTAAGATCAGGGTGCCCCAGAATTCACACACCTGGGTCACGTCAGCACCTCCATGCATCAGTTTCCTGCAACTATTAAATCGGAAGGGGCCAAGGATACAGTAGGAGGGGGAATTTGACTAGAAGATACAGGGAAGACAAGAAAACCTAGTATCAAGAAGCCTAGGATATTCCAGGTGGTTTGATAATTCCTTCAAGCCCAGAAGGAACCATGTTTCTAGAAACTGTTACCCATGATCAGATGCCCTAGAGTGACCTGACTGTCCCTCTATAGCCCAACCTCACATAGGGCCTGGCCAGATAGTTCTGAGGATCTACAGATCAAAAGAAGGAAAGCAGCAGACAGTGGGCTCCTAGGGAAGGTGGGACCCTCATCTCAATAGGGGTCACATCTTGCTCCCAGCTCAGCCAGTGAGACCACACTTTCCCCGACACACAGTTGCTGCACGAGCAGCACCGATTTCTACCAGCGGGGAATCAGGAAGGAACAAAACAACTAGCAATCACTGGTTCCTTTCTTCCCAACTTGAAGTGAGAAGTAACCCTACTGAAAAGGCACTCTCTTTAAGCCGTTATCACCCTAAGTTCAGTGGAGGTGACAGTCCCTTATGCTGCCAGCCAGTGACTGATCTCAAACTCCACCCCCCATCATATGGCACAGAGCTTCATCAAGGCTGGATGCCAAGTATTAACCTAAATGGCTTAAAAGGGGTGAGGAAGGACAGAGAGAAATCCCCTTCATACTCACCCTTCAATGGCGGCCAAGGCCCTGACCTCTGCTCTGCTCCTGTCCTGACCTCCACCACTCAGGGATCACAGAAAGTCTGAGGTTTACCAACTGCTTCCACCCCTGGTGGCCAAGTGTATGGCGAACCATATCTTCTGAAAGTGACTAAGAAAAACAGTGCTCTTCCTGGAGCAGAGGCACCCGTCCCCACTCCCAGGCCAGCAGGGATCAGCATCAGCTACAAGCAGCTCTCAGGACAGTCACGGGGAGGAGAGGACCTGGCAGAGGATTCCAGCTCATTAATGCTACCTCAGAGGGTACAAGAGACCAAATCAGCAGTAATATTTTTAGACCAATTGTTAACTTTCTCGACTTTCACCCTTTGATGCCAGCTCCTGTGGGCTTTACAGCTGAGTCATTGTTCGAATCTTCTGAAGCCTTCCCCAGGAGTACAAAAGCACCCAGAGTCTGATGGTGGCAGCAGCAATGGCAGCAAGAGCTTGGCACCAGATGCTTGGATTGCAAGAAACTGAGCTTGAGGTCAGCTGGGGAAAAGATCCAGCCCAAGACATAATAGTCAGACGCCTATTATCTAAAGGGAGTGGTCACGGGGAAAAATCCAGACCAGCAGCTATTATTTCTAGCCTGAGATAGAAGGCTGCATACCTGGAACCCTTCTTCTCTATCCCAGCCCTTAGTCCCAGGTTGCTTGCTCAAAATCTATCTGAAGGCACAGAGGTAGGAAGGGGGAGGGCAGCACTCACTCCAGGTGTAACAGATCGCTCTTTGCCTTCGACCTCAACTCTGCAACTCCACACCACACCTCAACTCAGGTGGTGATCTGAGTATGAACTCCCTCCACTGATTCTGGATCCCACATGGCCCAGGTGCTACCTCCAACATAGCATTTCTCCCCAACCTTGATTACTGGATGTCTCATTACCTTAAGAAACCACATACCCAAGTCCGTGTAAGGTCAGCACGCACTCTGTCCTTGTACCTCAACTTCTTTCTCCTCTAGCAGGTAACCCACTGTCACATTGCTCCCAGGGCCTCTCTCCTCTCTGTACTGAAAGCTATTCCTCAACAGACTACTTGACTCCATGATAGAATTCATGCTTCAGTGTATGACAAAAACTTTCTGTAAACGCATCTTCATGCCCTAGAAGCTCAGAAACACTCATCTTTGAATAATCTGTCCTTGCAGCTGATCAACACAAGCAGGAGGCAGAAGAATGGGAGAGACCATGTCTGAACTCCGCAGTTCAAAAATACCCAGGATTAACACAGTGGCTCAGCATTCATCATTCATTCAATAAATTCTTATTAAAAAGCCACTGAGCCAGGCACTGTGCTATATGTTGGGAATACAGTAGTGGTGAACTGGACAGTTGAGGTGGATTTGCAGGAGACCTGGTTGGGCCCAGGAAGTCCATGTTACACAGAGGAGGAACCCAACCCTATTTTTGAATGTTGCCTCAGAAAGGCTGTTTGGAAGTACAGCAATGGCAGAAGCAAAATGCTGACAATTCCCTTCTCATCTCAGGCTGATCTAGCCTGCAGACCAAGGGGAACCTGTGAGTGACACAGCACAGGGAACATACCATCCACTGGTTAGCAGTTAGGGCAGAAACCAGAGAGGGTGAACAGGTTAATCCCCAAGGGACTCCTAAAGGAGACAGGGAGGAAACAGGACATGTCCTCTGGCATCCTTAGACTGAGCATCTGGTCTGCCCACAGGGCTTCTGTATAAGACATTCATTAGGAGGCCTTGTTTCCAGGTCCCCCAAAGTAGATCCTCAGTCACCCCACTTCCTGCTGAGTAATGCTGCATGCAAGAGCCACCGGGGAGAAGGCAGGAAGACAAATCCAATGGGTGGCGCAGTTACGAGCTGAGACTCAGGATGGAGAAGTCAGAACTGTTCGTGTGCGCCCTGGCCTTGTGGGACCTCAGCAAGGGAACACATCACTTACGGCCGAACAGCCGGGAGTCCTAGACAGAGATACCTTCACTTTTAAGTGTTCTTGCCCAAAACATTAGAGTTCTGCTCACAGAAAGGTGTAATAGAAAGCATAAGAGGTTTGGAAGCAAAGAGACCCGGGCTGGGATTCTGGTAGTTGTGTCACTTTTGGCACTTTACAACCTCTGTGAGCCTATTTCCTCATCTTTAAGATAGGAACAATAATAGTACCCATTTCACAGGACCATGCAAGCATTAAAATCACGTGATGTACTTAGCATAGGAAGTAGTCGATAAATGGTGGTTATTAGTCACTCTATCCCCCATCCTAGCATATTGAGGATAGCTTTCATAGCCCTGCTCTTCCATTAGAGGATTTAAGACACTGCAAGCAGGACAAAGGTAGACCTGGACACGTGCCACTGGGGTCTCAGAGAAAAACCAACTTCTATCACTCAACTTGCCCTGAAACGTTTCCTTCCCAGCAAGAAGTGAGGCCTCAGAGTAGGCACAGTGTAGAAGGGAGGGACCCCATAAACTGCCACATCCAAACCAATGTTGGCCTTGGCAGGTACAACTCTCAAAAACAGACTTGACCCCCAGGCTTCCTGCAGGCCTCTGAGTCCAATGAAATCCACACGGCAGAAGGATTCCAGCCCCTGGAGAAGTGTCCCCATGTACCAGTCTCATGCTCAGAACCTAATGAAAGGCTGTCCCAGTGCAAAAAATCCTTCGGGGAGAAAATGGAAGCCCCTATCTCAGCAACTATCATGCTGCATTTGGTGTACTTTCTCATGTTTTCCCTTGGTAGTCACCGGGAATTTTAAGGGCAACAAGTTTATTCATTAATGTACCTCTAGTGCCTAACATAGTGCCTGGCACACAGCCAGTGCTCAATGTTTGTTGAATGAATTTAGCCAAGATCCCTGCTATCTCCAACCTTGCCCCCGACACTGCTGACCACTTAAGAGAGGTAGAAGATGTTGAGATGTGAGACACAGCTGCCTGGGGCAATATCCCACCAAACAGAGCCCAAGGAATAAGCTTGTACTCTGTGCTGCACACAGAGACAGCAGGGTACCAGGCTGTCTGCAAGGATAACTCCCAGGCTGTCCAGAGCACTGAAATACCTCCTCCTTCCCTGAAGAAACTGAGCTAGCTGGTCTTCAGACGGGAAGGCAGTGTAGGCACTGGAATGTGGGCTGCATGTTCCTGCATTGCTGGCAAGTGTGCACGATCTGGCACTGCAGCTGGCTGGTGGGAGGGCTGCATCCTACTCCAGGAGGTGGTACCCTCATGTGGGCTTTCCAAGAAGACCCAGAGCTCAGGGAAAGAAGAGAAATGGCTGTCACCACAGCTCCAAAATCCAAGGACAACATGGAGTTTGGGGATGGGTGTGTCCTCAACCCTTGGAAAGGAAGACATACCCACACTAACTCTGCCCATATAGCCAGATCACAACACTGGGGCAACCCTCTGTTCCCTATAAACGCTAGGGCCACAGACTCCAGCCCTCCCTGATCCACAAAATCATATAATTTTTATCACTAACGTGCTTGAGATGGAAGATGGAGAAGTAAATCCATGCCCACTTCAGAGACAAACAGCTCTAAGCACAGGCCTTTCAGCTGGTGGGGAAGCTTGGGAAATTATGGCTGAACCAAATCTATTTTTTACAGCCTAATTTCACAGTAACTTTCAGGCCAAGCACTCTAAGCCCTGAGTTGGGCCATCCTGCATTTCTACATGCTGTAATACATTTCAAAAGGACCTTGTAGCTAACAGAAACCAGAGTCAAAGAAGGGCTACGACCCAACCTGAGACCAGTGAAAGAGTGTGCCTTGGTCAAACACCGATCACCACAGACAGGTGCCCTCTCCTGCTTGAGCTGTCTTTTGCTCAGATACACTGGGAATGAGGACAAGGTCAGCTTCACAGGCCACCCAGGTTGGCTTCAGAGTAGCACATAAAGGAAACTACCATGGCCTCCAAGCCCAGATCTCCAGGCACAGGACACCGAACAGTGACACAATACTGCCCTGCCCAGGGGACAGGGCAGTTACCAACCGTTCTGGAAAAACCTGAGTCAGCTGAAGGCCAGGACTTCAAGAAATTCTACCTTACTCCAAAGGTTGTTGCTTAAAGGCAAAGCTCTTCCCCACCCATGGCCAAACCAAAAATTCCAAAACCCTACCCCCCAATGAAATGAGATTTTACCAAAACAACGGGGCATTAAAATGCCAACAGACACTAGGGTCCCAGGCTCTGCAAAGCATTCTAAAAAAACAACTTGTGCCAAATAGGGTGGAGGCCAGAGAAATCAACAAGGCAGTACCTCGCTGCCATGACTGCCAGGTTCTGGAGCGGGGGAGCCAAGGGAAGGACGGCAGGCTCAGTGAGTCCCTCTGTCAGCACCAACAGCAAATGGCTGAGCCCCCACTACCTTCCCCTCTTCCTAAAGGAACCGCTGCTGATATTCTTCTTATTAAGGCATAATTTACATAAAACAAAATAGACATATTTAAGTTGACGCACAGAGTTATTTCTTAAGTTCACATGTCTTCCCGAATACTCCAAGACTTGCATGTGGCCAACCCTCCCCCTTGTACCACGAGAGGGAAATAAATAGGCAATGGGAAGGCGAAGCAGTTAAAGGGGTTGCCAAGAAGCCCCTTCAATTTGTCCCTATCGAATCCTTCCAAGACGACAAGGGATCCTAAAGGGGAGTGGCTCTTCCTTCATCCATTTGGTTAACCTTAACACAAAGAAAGAAGAAAAAAGCCTCCATAGCTGAGAGTTACCCCACCCACTCACCCTGCTACCCCTGTCCAGCATCAATGCTCTTAACCTCATGCTAAGCCAATTCCAACATCCCACTATTACCTAGCCTCACTTGATGTTAAAATTCTTTCCTTGCATGACTCAGGGACCATCCATCCTTCACATACACTTCCCTAGTTTTAAAAGCTGCTGAAAAATAGAATCTGGACATCCAGTAATCAGCCCCTTAAGTCCCCTCCCCCACCTAAAAGTGTTTTGCTTCATCATCTCCAAGACAGGCCTGGGCACTAGGGGGTTAGCTGGATCTTTTCTGCCTAAGGCTGTCACCTTGGGGACCCTTCTCAGGGCCACCCCAGGTGCAGACTAACAACTCTAGGGAATTTATCAGGGTTAAGTGGAAAAGACACGTTTGCCTTTACGAGCAACCATCTGTCCTGCCACACTCACAGCCAGCATTTCCATCTCTTGCAAAACAGCTCCATGTTGCATGGGGGGTGGGGGGATTGTGATGCAAAGGGGAAGAGAACAACTGTTGCTGTGGATATCGCTGCTCATCACCCCGTGCATCCCCCTCCCCCAGCCAACTCATTTTTTGGCACTCACCCGAGTGTGTGCTGCTCTGGGCTGAGGAATCGGAGTCCTGGGTGCTCCAGGGTCGGTCCCAGCCTGTGAGACTGAGGGACTGCAGGCCAAGGCACAAGTCATTTGCATCTGGGAGGCCACGGGAAGAATCTTGCGCAGAGGTGGGGAAAAGCATCCTGCTTGTAACTGTTTCTTCAGAGTCTTGGAAGTCTGCTTTGGACAGGAGGACAGCAGAAACCCCAGAGTTAAGGGCTGTTTTCCCCAGTATTATTAACAATAAATATTATTAATAATAGTTTCCCCAGGCCCAAGGACCAGACATCCAAGCTGGCTGGATGCTGCAGCCGCTGCCTCTGCACTTTTGGGGGCGTCAGAGCAAGAGCAGTTGCCATACAGCCCCCTCTCCACACACACGCCCCTATCCCGTCTGCATTACAGACTGGGCCAGCATGTGATCAGGCTGCTGATGCTTCCCGCTGCCAGTGACATCAGCCGGCTGAGCCGTGCAATAGAGAGCGGCATCATCCCTCACAGAACGGGGGAGGAGCAGGAGGGGACGACAGGGAGGAGACTTGCCTCCCAGGGAAAAGACAGCACAACAGCTACTTGGAACAGTCCGGGTGCAGAGCCGGTAAGTCAGGGTTTCAAGGCAGCGCCCTCCGGTCTCCAGTAATGGTGGCCGAGCGGCCCTCAGGCACGACTGAAGTCCCTCTGCTGACAGCAAAGCCAAAGCAGCCGACTGCCTGCTGCTTGTGTAGCTCTGCCCTCCTGCCCCTCCCTTTCCCTCCCTCTGCTCTCCACCCCCAAACCCAAAAACACTCTAGTCCTGGACTTTCTCCAGCTGCTTGCTCAAGCCCTGGTTTTGCAGCCCAATGCAAAGCTTCACAATCCTGCTAACAAAAATCTTTGTGCTCCAAGTGGCCCCTGAGCAGCACCCTGACACAGCAGTGTTTACCACTGAGGAAGGGGATAAGCTTCAGAAAAACACTGTACACTTGGACCCTAGGGAATAACACCTGGTGCTCCAGGCTTTTCTGGAGCAGCTTATCACGAGAGAAGGGGCCAGCTTCGGCAGAGAGAGAGGAGTTACTGGGCTGCTCTAGGTATGGCCCACAAGCCACATGCCAGAGTACGATTTGCCCTGACCAAGACAATCCCTGTTCCCAGGTTCCCTCACCCCAAAAGGATGGGCATCAGTCATGAACAGATGTATAAGGTCCAGGTCCTCCCCTCTCTGGACCACCTGTACATGCCTATGCAACTGTGGGCAGAGACTGAGGGAACACTCCAAAAACAGTGTCTGACAGACCGAAACCAGAGACAATATTCTCAGACATAGTATTATGCCCCATCAGAATCCCCCCGCAGGAGCTCACAACACCCAGCTCTGTTAACAGTTTCTCCTGCCCTTCCAGGGGCTCCCAGAGCTGTACAGGGCAGCTGTGAGGGTCACGGATGTCTGTAGCTGCCTGGGCCCTCTCTCAGAGGTGCTGCCCAGGACCAAGGCCCTACTTTTGTGACCACTCACAGCTCCAGCAACAAAGGCCAGCTCTGCCAGAGCTTCTGGAATCCCTGCCATTTCCTCTTCACCAACATACTCTCCTCCATCAGTCCTTTTCCAACATGACCTCCAGTCATAAGGCCGCCTCAGAAAGGAGGGTAGAGCGAAGGTCTAGCCTCAGCAGGCAGGCTGCTCACACCCACACTAGGAAGCACTCCACCCTGCTTGTTCTCCTGTGTTACAAGAAGTAACCAACCACAGAAAGCAGGACCACCATGACAGGGTCTGAGGGGGGCGGGGGTAACACTGTTAGCCAGAGGAACAGCTGGCCAGAGCCTCCTGCAATACAGCCTTCCCTCCACAGGCACTCAGGCATAGCCTAGAGGGGAAAATGGCCAGTCTGTGGGAGGGACTCCTCCCCTTGGAAGGTTTTTTTTTAAAGCTTTGCTGCTGTGTCATCCATCCACGTTATTCCTGTCTGGCTGTAGATACTCTGCTTGCTCCCTGTCTGTGTCTGTCAAAGCCTTGCACAGGCCAAGCAAGAACTCACCCATGCTGGTGTTGCCCCCACCCAAGACCACACCCTCCTGCTTCTCTACGTCCACCCTTCCCCCAAACTAAGAATACTCTTTACAAATAGTTTGTATGTATTAACTACAAAAGCATTATGCTTCCTTTAAAAACATCCATATTTAAATACCCATTCTCCCCTAAACCAGCTATCTATATAGTCCCTTTCACCCCAATGTGAGGGCATCTATGCCTAAAAGCAACTGTTGCTCCCCTCCTCCTCTAAAATCAGGGCATCTGTGTATATGACTACCCCCATGCCCCAGGCAGAGACCATCGTCAACTATACTCTTGCTGCCCAAAGTATAGTGTGGCAGACCAGCAACATCAGCATCACCAGGAGCTTTTTATGAATATAGAATCTCAGGCCCCACCTGAGACCTAGGGACTGATCTACATTTTGTGTGTGTGTGTGTGTGTGTACGTCAGGAAGACTGTCGCTGAGCTAACACCTGTGCCAATCTTCTTCTATTTCATGTGGGATGCTGTCACAGCGTGGCTTGATGAGTAGTGCTAGGTCCTTCCAGAGATCCAAACCTGCTAACCCTGGGCCGCCAAAGTGGAGTGCGTGAACTTAATCACTACACAACTGGGCCGGCCCTGATCTACATTTTAACAAGATTCCAGTTGCTGTGTCTACACACAAAAGTTTGGGCAGTGCTGATCCATACGAGACGCCACACCTTCCTACCCAAAGGTGAAAGACCTCAGGCATGAGCAGCAGGTTTAAGGACATTTAGGGAGAAATGGCTACAAGCAACTAGGAGCTTGGAGATGGAAATACAGCACAATTCTACCTTTGCTCCCAGCATCCCCACTACAGACATCACCTTTCTCCTCATCCAGACATTCTCCATTCCAGTGTTTCTCCCAGATGAAGGCTTTCACTACCATGTAGGATTCCTTCCCTAGAGCCTAAAACCACTGGAGGCCATGCTTATTAAACCCTCCGTGTGGTAGGCTGGGAAAAAGCTTTAAAAGTCTGATAGATCTTGCTTTGCTCACCAGGTCTGCCACCGTGTGGTCTCAGTCAAGTTACTTAGCCTTTCTGAGCATCTTTTCATCCGTGAAGTAGCAACTGCAGCTATTTTTCAGGTGTTTTGTGAGGATTACATAAAGCATTTGGTACAGTGTCTGGCACAAAGTATTTTATTTTCAGTGGAGCGACCACATAATTTATCATCCAAACCAAGACACTTTAGAGAGAGCAAGGGAACAATCACACCAGGAGAGCAAGCTTACACAGACACTGTCCTGGGTGAACTGGCAGGCATGATCACCCTAGCTGCAGCCATTTGTGCTGAGAAACAGTGTATTTAAAGCGCCTCTTTTCTAATGGCTTCCTGATCCCATCTCTCTAAACTTAGCCACTCTGTTCTAGCTCTTCACTCTGCTCTGAAAGTAAGTTTGAGAAGTGAACTGTCAACACAGGCTAACACGCAGTGAGTTAAGAGATCTGAAAAGCAAAGGCTGATTTTACAGGCAAAAGCCCTCCTCTGCGTCTCAAACTCCCACCTGAGGCTGGACAGGAACGTGACCCTTTTTACTGGGAAGTATTCTTTATAATCCTTCTGCCAAGCACAAACTAGATGCTCCGAAGACACTGAAAGCTGGCAACCAACACAAGATGAAGTGATAAATTTCATTCTAAGGCAATCTACTTAGTCAGCTAAAATGCTTTCTCCTACAAGTTTCTTTTAATCAATACCTATACAAGGTTTCTGATTTAAGCTTAATTTGGTTCAAAATTTTAAAGTCATCTCCCATTGAAAATATCAGTTATCTTTTTTATAATTAACCTCCCAAATTTCTTAGCAACTGAGCAACTCAGGGAAATAAGTAAACTAACCCAAAATGTAGTTTGCCACAGTCTAAAACAGAGCACCCCCTGGCAGGCTCAAAATGCAGAGGTGAGCCAGAGACCCTGGCTCCAGGGCTCAGAGCAGTATAGCCTCAACTCTCATCTCTTCCATCCTCAGCATAAGAACCTGTCTGTCCTCTGACGACTGTTGTGCCAGCAAAACTTAGCACAAAACTGCTCAGGGTCCTCTGCAACTAGCATTCTTGAGCACCTGGCAAGTAGGGGAAGTAAAACAGGAACAGAGCCTTTAGGCCTCCACTTGTGAAACCATTAGGGCAAGCTCCATTGTATCAAGGCAGATGGCAACTTCAAGAACTCAGCTGAGGCCCCTGGGAGATCTGTGCTGGCTGAGCAGAACAGAGCAGAGATATCATTAGCTGATCCTGGGGAAAAAGAGATCTAGTTTTTAAATTTCATTTTATTGAGGTCATAATAGTTTATAATGTTGTGAAATTTCAGTTATACATTATTATTTGTCAGCCACCATACATGTGTGCCCCTTTACCCTTTATCCCCGCCTCCCAACCCCCTTCTCCCTGGTAACCGCTAATCTGTAAGAGATGTTGTTTTGAGGAGGTAATAGTGGAGAAGGAAGCAAGACGTGTTTGGGCTAGCCAGACCAGGAAGAACTGAGGCTGAAATATCAAAAACTGATGCTCAGACATGCAGTTAGGAATCTCTGTAAACTCTTCAACAGGAAATAATGTAGTAACAGGCCCAAGATGAACCAGAGTTAGAGCTAGGGAGGCCAGTGATGAGAGGGAGAGGGAGAGGAAGAGGATGAAGGCAGAGGACAGCCGGAAGATGAGGGAAGGGGGGCAGTTGGGGAGGAGGGAAATATGTTAAATGACAGAAGCAGACTACATAGTTGCATATATTCCATGATTATAACTGTGAAAATTATGTATGTCGATGGACTTGAGTAAAGGAACAAAGAAAACTATGAACAGCTAACGTGTGAGGGTAACAGGCTGCAAATGGATTTATTTTCCTTTTAGTTATTTGCACAAATATTATAACAATACAAAATCTGTCCTCTTTTTCCTCTTTAGACTTTAAACAGCACACTACTATAATTTGTACAGCAACCACGCTTTTACAAAATCTCGACTTCATTCCCAAATTTTCAGTCCCTGGGAACACCAGAGACAGGACGTTGAGTCATCTGTCCTCACTAGATTGTTTCAAATGACTGACTTTACAGTTGCTGAGGTTACTTAATGATTTATGGTTCTTAAAGTTTTAACAACCTCATAAAGCAGTATTTCTAAGAATGTATTTCTAAAAAGACTGTTTAAAAGACTATTTTCTCCCCCTAAATCAAGAAAATTAAAAATATTTTGCAAATCCATTTTGGCAGCTTGAAAGAACACACAGGCAAGAAGTCAGACATGTCAGGATCATTTCAACTGCTCTGTTTGCAGTGTGGCCCTTAACCTCTCACACCAGGGAGACTGCAAGTTTCTCCAGAAAGAGCAGGGCTTCTCAAACTTTACTAGGCACACAAATGACTTGGGAATCTTTCTAAAACACTGATTCTGATTCAGTGGGTTGAGGTTAGGCCCAAGAATTTGCATTTCTAACAAACTCCCAAATGATGCCAACGCTACTGGTCCACTGACCACACTTTGAGCACAGTCACGTGCCACCTAACAAGGTTTCGGTCAATGATGGACTGCATAGATGACGGTGGTCCCCTAAGATTAGTACCACCAAGCCAAGACGTATAGCAGGCTATACCATCTAGGTTTGTGTAAGTGCACTCTATGATGTTCACACAATGACGATGTCACCTAACAAAGCGTTTCTCAAAATGTATCCCTGTCACTAAGCAATGCGTGACTCATCTAAAAGCTTAAAATGGTTTTTCTACCTCAGATTCTCTCCTCGAGGCAATTCACCCCATTCTTACTCAACACTGCTTTCTTCATGGTGTTCACTCTCCTAAACGAGTACCTTCAACGGTTCCCTACTGCCTCTCAGATCAAGGCCAACCTTGAGGCCCTGGCTTACTTATTAACTTTCTCTCACACAACTCACCAAACATTAAAGGCTGAGCTTGACTTAACCACAACTCCCCAAAGTTCGCGCTCTAGAGAACAATTTGTTAATCTCTGTGCTAATAAATGCAACAGTAGTTCAGAAAAAAGAGAATGCACGATGGCTACGATATTCAAGGATAGCCTCCTCATAATTTAGCTAAACATTAAATATCATTACAGATTTAGGTATCACAGGGAACATTAGGCTTACTTTGTACTTCCCAGCATAGAAATATGATCAATGGGGGCCGGCCCCGTGGCCAAGTGGTTAAGTTTGCATGTTGCACTTTGGTGGCCCAGGGTTTCACCAGTTTGGATCCTGGGTGTGGGCATGGCACCGCTCATCAAGCCATGCTGAGGTGGCATCCCACATGCTACAGCTAGAAGAAACCACAACTAAAAATACACAACTATGTACCGGGGGGCTTTGGGGAGAAAAAGGAAAAATAAAATCTTTAAAAAAAAAAAAAAACAAAAAAAAACCAAAAAAGAAATACGATCAATGGCTTGACTGCTTTTAATATTCAAATTAATTCTGTAAATTATTTCAAAGTGATTTCTACATATTTCTTAATATAAATATTAATATTTAGATTTTAAAACGTCATATGCCATGGTCACATACTGGAAGATTCAATATTGTTAGAAAGTTAAAACCCACCAAACTGATCTACACAGTCAATCCAACCCCAGCAACGTACTGCTTTCAAGCAATTCAGTGGGGAAAGACTTTTTAACAAATGGTGCTGAAACAACCAAATGTCCAAATGGGAAAAAAATAATGAACCTTGACCCCTTACCTCACACCATATACAAACATTAATTTGATATGGGTCAGAGAGACCTAAAAGTAAAAGTTACAACTATAAAGTTTCTCTAAGTAAACACAGACTATCTTTGTGACTTGGGGGGGGGGAGTGGATAGAAGCAAAAGTTCCTTATAGAAGACACAAAGCAATGATCATTAGAGAAAAGTTTGATAAATTAGATTTAATCAGAATTTAAAACTTACCAAGACACCATTAAGAAAATAATCGGGCAAGCTACAAGATTGGAAAAAGTATCTGCAACTGTATCTGACAAATGGCTAGTATCTAGAGTATATAAGAAATCTTAACCACCCAAAAGTAAAAGAAAAAAATTTTTAAAAGAGCACGAAACTTTGAAAAAGGAATTCACAAAGATATATAACTGGCCAATAAGCACTTGAAAAAGTGCTCAACATCATTAGTCATTAAACAAATGCAGATTAAACCACGAGTTACCACTACACACCCACCAGATGGCTAAAATTAAAGACTGGTCCACATTTTGCCAACATTTGGTGTTTGCCATACATTATTGTATGATGGTACAATGACTTTTGAAAAAGGTCAGCCAATTTCTTATACAATTAAACATATACTATCCTATGACCCAGAAATTCTACTCCTAGGTATTTGACTAAAAGGAATGAAAGTGTATGTCTACAAAAAGACCTGTACATGAATGGTGAGAGTAGCTTTATTCACAACCACCAAAACCTGGGAACAGTCCAAGTGACCATCAAAGGGAGAATAAAATGTGGTATGTGCATATACTGGAATACTACTCAGCAATAAAAGGGAATAAACTATTGATACACGCAAAAAAGACATATGAATCTCAAAATAATTATATGGAATGAAAGAGGCCTCACGGAAGACTAACACATCTATATACATCATATATAAATGTGATTCTATTTATTCGAAGTTCTAGAACAGGAAAAGCTAATCTATGGTGAAAAGAAGTCAGGTGGTTGCCTCCAGGGGTAGCAGTGGGAGTTGACTGGGAAGGGCTATGGGGAACCTTCTGTAGTGATGGTAACAATGCTACATTTTGATGGGAGTTAGGGGTGTGCATTTGTCAGAATGCATCTAACCGTACACACAGGATTTGTGCATTTCACTGTGTATAAATTTCAACTCAAAAAACTGCAAACAAATATTGAACATTAATAATATGCATGTTTAACTATTTAGGGGTAAATTATATCCATGTCTGATAGTTACTTTGAAATGCATCATAAAAATAAGACGGATTGATAAATGGTTATGGGGATAAATAAAAGGATATGTGATAAAGCAAATATGACAAAATGCTGATTGTGGAATCTAGGTGCCGGGTATTATGGGTATTCACCTTACAATCCATTCAGCTTTTCTGTATGCTTGAAAATGTTCATAATAAAATGTTGGGGAAAAATGAAGTCAGACTTTTGCAGACAAAAAGCAAGTCTGAGTGAACTAATTCGTTGGACAATAAGAAGTGACTTCATTAAATTTTATGGTTGACATTTTCCATAAGCAGAGCAAGCTAAAATCTGTCGAACCAAGGTTTTGACAAAAAGCAAATGATAAGACTATTGTATTGGCAAAGCCATATTTTTAAATTAACAATATTTTAATTTTCTCCATCCTTTAAGTAAACTGAATTAAACAGGTCTCCAGAAGTGAAAGAATAACAGATATTTCAGGGTCACCTGAAATGCTATAAAGCATTCCTTTCAAAAAACTGAGAAATTCAGTGACTAGTGACTTAAGTAATAAATCTTCTCACAAATTATATGGTTTCCAGTTCCTTCTTCTGAACAAATACGAGTGAATGGAACTGTCAGCAAGTAAATGACTAAAAATAATGATAGATGACTGATTTTTTGCATAGAACTCAGAGTTCGAACAATTGAGTGACACGGCTCTAACAACTTCATTTCCCATCTAGTTATTTATGTGAACAAGTTTACTCAGAGCACAGATCTATAAAAACAAAAAGTACGAATATATTTGGTGTTCAAAATCCTGAGTCATTCCAGCAGTGAGTCATCCAAAATTACATGAGTTTTTAAAATGCCTCATTTATCTTATTAAGAAGCATTTCCAATAAACATTAAACAAAGAACAAAATTTTATCAAAATTTGTAACATTTAGATTGTCTTAATTGTCATAGCAATCAATGGCCACAGCAATCCAGAACACTTACAGCCATTTAGTCACAGGAAATAATTTAAAATGTCAATTTAGGTACTGGTTTTTGTTGTAGAGAAGTATAATGATGTGATCAACAAAAGACTTAGGTGTAAAATATTCCATTAGGATAAAATTCCGTGGGAGAAGTAGACAAGAAATACGAGTGAAGGAGAAAATGAATAATGAAAAGTTTCCCACTGTTAAAGAACTGGTTTACATAATTTTAAAATAGACGATAGGATCAAATTTCTCTACTATTTTGATTCCACTGAATACATTTTCACTTATGATGAAAATTTAGGTATCAAGTTAAATGTGCAAGGAGTACACTGTATTTTTAAAAATGTTTTTGTGTTAAAATATACATAAAATTTACCATTTTAATCATTTTTAAATATACACACACTTCAGGGCACTGAGTACATTTACAGTTTTGTGCACCTATCACCACTATCCATTGCCAGAACTTTCTCATTTCAAATTGGAACTCTGCAGCCATGAAACACTAACTCCTCACTGGCCTCTCCCCCAGTCTCTGATAACCACTTTCTGTCTCTTTGAGTTCAACTCTGCCAGGGACCTCACAGAACTGGAATCACACAATATTGTCCTTTGTGTCTGGTTTACTTCACTTAGCATGATGCCTTCAAGGTTCATCCATGTTGCAGCGTGATCAAAATTTCCTTCCATTTTAAGGCTGAATAATATTCCGTTGTATATATACACCACATTTTGTTTATCCACTGATCTGTCCATGGACATTTGGGTTATTTCCACCTTTTGGCTATTGTGAATAGTATTGCTGTGAACATCTGTGTACAACTATGTGTTCACGTCCTCGTGTTCAATTCTTTTCCGTATATACCCTAGGAGGGGAATTGCTGGATACTATGGTAATTCTGTGTTTAATTTCTTTAGGAATCATCATATTGTTTTCAACAGCGGCTGCACATTTGACATTCTGCAAATATACAAGTGTTTCAATTTCTCCACATCCTTGCCAACACTATTTTCTGTTTCCTGACAACAACCATCCTCCTAATGGGTTTGAACTGATCTCTCATTGTAGGGTACATCGTCTTTAAAAAATTAACAGGAGGAGCCAGCCCCATGGCCTAGAGGTTAAGTATGGTGCATTCCGCTTTGGCAGCCTGGGTTCGATTCCCAGGTGCAGACCTATACCATTCATCAGCAGCCATGCTGTGATGGCAAGCCACTTACAAAACAGAGGAAGACTGGCACCGATGTTAGCTCCAGGTGAATCTTCCTCAAGCAATAGGAATTGGCAACAGATTAGCTCAAGGTGAAGCCTCCTCAGCAAAAAATAATAGTAGTAATAATAATAATATGATGTATACAAACAAATGTTTCAAGATTGCTACTGCCTAGTTCATGAATTCCCAAGATCACGTTTCTAAAAATCTCCCCCACACCAGGTTTCTGTTGAACTATTTTCTGCCTATGTCATCCAAGTGGTCCTAAAGGCAAATGCCATCTTCTTGCAGGCTTCTGCCTCCCTGATCACAGTGATGGTCCACAGTGGGCATCCGACCCAATGAGAGGCAGAACAACCCATCCTTATGACTACAGAGACCAATCCAGGCATGGACACAACTCAAGCCAAGTTAACCGGGGAGCCCTTCTTTGAGGTTTTCCTAATTGGATACAGTGAAGGAAAAACAACTTCCTGATTTCATGATGTCAGAGGACATGACAACAGCCCCTTCCTCAGGTAAGAGGTAACTGTGCAAAAAAAGAAAATGAAAGCACACTGGGAGAGAGGCAGCAAAGAGGCAGGATCTAGACAAAATTGGAGGCCCTGGATTCAGCATCCTTACTTAGTTTTTCAGCAATTTCTTCCCATTCTGTGAGGTACATACCAAGAGCCTTCCAACACATCCCACGTTTTGGTAAAGTTAGTTCTAATTAGGTGTTTCATCATTTGCAAAATAAGAGTGTTCTGTGTAATTCAGGCCCTTCAGCAAGCACTGACCAAACAAGTAATTACTACAGGCAGGAGGAGAATCTTTGGTACAAAAGCCCCTAATACCCTGGCACCAGATGAGAGAGTCAGCCACCTTGTAAGATCTTCTTTACTCTTTTTTTTACTGAGGCAGAATGTCCTGAAGACTCCAGTCCAGAGTCTTGGAATGCAACCTGCTGTCCAGGTAGTGCCCCCAAATTGTATGTAAAAACAGTATAACCTAAACACAAGGAAATGTCACTTGACCTGATGCTACACGGCCCAAATGTTGGGTTGGCAGAAGTTCCTGAACATGACACCAAATTGGAGATCCCTTACAAAGGTGCCAAATCACAGTAGACCTAGAGAATATAAATGCTAGCTATTTTAAAAGGACTGGGTGCTTTCACACACTACAGCAAGAGTAAACTGGTACGTTTCTGGAGGGTAAAATCTGATATGTGAACTAAAAGCCTTAAAAGACACTTATTTGATGAATGAATTTTACTTTTAGAGATTTATCCTATGTCCAAATAGTCACAGATGTAGGCAAAAGTTTTACTTCAGGTACTTCTACTAGTGTTTAAAATAGATACCTATTTAAGCAAACTACCTCCAATAGTTTGTTAAAATAGACACCTGTTTAAGCAAACTACCTCCAGTAACTTTCTGCACCATGAAGCTTTTGGCCACCTAATGAAGCCTATGGCACCTTCTAAGAACAATGCTGTTAATATGTCAAATAGTGATCATAATTTTGAACTAATGGTGAACGTAAACAACATTTCAAGATATGTGCAATAACTATACAGAAATCAGATATGAAATGTCTGGCCATCCTATTGATGATGATGATTATTGCCAAAGTATTAGGTCTTGCTAATATTATTGTGATTTGTTGCCTACATTTACCATAGAAACAAATGCTACATTTTAGGTAAATATTGGCAAAAATAAAGATCTAAGTTTTTACCTGCCCAAGTTACTAGACTCCCTGAATTCTATCCACGGACCCGGGTTAAAAATCCCATAATGCATCTATCTACACAATAAACTGCTATGTAACCTTGAAAAAGACACAACATTAATGACACAGAAAGATAAAAGGAAGAGAAAGAGGCAAATTGCTCCATAGTGTGTTCCCAAAGCTTTCACTTTAATAAATATATGTTATAAAAATACTGGAGAGAGAGACTAAAATGTTAACAGTAGTTATCTCTGGGTAGTAGAATTACATATGACTTTTTTCCTTCTAATTTGTCTGTTTTCTCCAGAACTTTTTACAATGAACATGCTACTGTAACAAAAAAAATGCAAGTTATTAAACAGGGAAAGATAACTCAGATTTAATATCCCCTAAATAAACTTGAAAAAATCTGAAAACATTTTTACCAAGAAAAGTTCATATTAAAAGGCTTTGAACTTGACAATATGAGTTCAATGGCAATATAAAAATCAGGATTATAAATCGATTTGAACAGAATAAACCACAGAACATTAAAAATAGAAGGGACTTTGGAGTCGACTTAGTCCAAGCCCCTCACTTCACAGCAGAAATGCCCTCTCTCTAGTATCCAGAGGCCTTAACCTCTGCACAGTTCCCTCTCCCCCCATAAGTGTACTCATTTCTTCTTTCATCAAAAAGGTGTAAAACATCCACATTTAGAAAGCAGAATGCACACAATGAAGAGCGAGTAAGCCCACCTGTGATAAGACAAACTGAGCCTTAGCTTTCAGCAGCAAAGCCCTGACATTCCAGCAGATGGGGATGGCACCACGCAGACTGAGGCTTTTAGACATTAAACATCACACTCTTTACTTTATTAAGTGATAAAAACAGCAGAGTCTGTGTGGAAAAGCCTATGGCAGTCTCACAAGAGGCATTTCTCTTCATGGACTGGAGTCGCCAGGTTGGCTGCCCTCCCACGTTCCACTGCAGCTCTCCTACACTCGTACTCTCCTCCTCAGGCCCAAGTGTTGTTCTGTCCCCGTCTCTACAGGTGACCTCACCTGGAGTTAGGCTGAGAAAGGAAAAGAGCATCAGGTCGGCAGAGGTGGACACAGTGAGGGACAGGCACAGAGATGCTGGCAGGTTGCAGCTTGTGCTTGCTCTCGTCCACTCCACATCTACCCCTTCTGCCAGATAACAGGATTTGAAGACAAGAGCAAGCCTAGGTCCACTGCCAGATGCAGGGTCAACAGCATTCTACACGTTCTCCACCAGCTCCCCTCCAGGCCTGACTAGAGCAGCGACATGTGGTGGGCTTTCTCGAGTGCCCTGTAAGCCCAACCGTCCACCTAGGCCAACACTTCAGGAGAGCTGGTTACTGACACTTCCCTAATCTTTTAACCCTCCTCCCTTCCTAAATTGTGTAATGTGTAAGTCCTATAACAAATCCTTAGTCCATAGTAATCACCGTGGTTCTGCTTCTCAGTCAAATCCTGAGTGAGACAGAGTCTCATAAGGGGACACTGTATTGCACAATGGAAGTCATCCCACTTCATCCCCACAGTAAATATGATAGCTGAGAATTTCTCTCAGAGAGCCGAGGACATGAGCAAGCCTGGACTGGCCGCCAGGCTGAAGAGCCCTAACGTGAATAAAAGAGGACTCATGCCACTCACTGGCCCGCCAGTCTATCGCGTATTCCTCCAGAACTGTCACGCCCAATTCAGAACATACCAGCCACACAAAGCCACTGGGCACCTAAAAAGGAGTTGTTACAACTGGGGAAATGCATTTTAAATTTTAATTAAAATTTAAATTAAAAAACTGGTAACTTGACTCTATTATTGGAAAACACTTAAGTATGGTTCAGAACAACCTGAGTATGTGAATCTACGTTTTCAACTTTAAATTTTATGAAACAAATACGTATCAACTATTTCTGATGAAAATTTATAATTACATTGAGATGGGCAGTGAGTATATAATATACTGCATATCACTGAAATAAACTACATATAATTTCACAATACATATATCAAATCATTATATTATACACCTAAAACTAATACAATGTTACATGTCAATTACATCTCAATAAAAATTTAAAAAATATATATATATACACACACTGCATTTTGAAGACTTAGTAGGAAAAAAGCTAATAAAATACCTCATTAATAATTAATATAGGGGCCGGCCCCCTGGCTGAGTGGTTAAGTTCGCGTGCTCCGCTTCGGCAGCCCAGGGTTTCACCGGTTCAGATCCTGGGCGCAGACATGGCACCATTCATTAGGCCATGCTGAGGCGGCATCCCACATGGCACAACTAGAAGGACCCAGAACTAAAATATACAACTATGTATTTGGGGGATTTGGGGAGAAAAAGCAGGAAAAAAAGAAGACTGGCAACAGTTGTTAGCTCAGGTGCCAATCTTTAAAAAAATAATAATAATTTATATAAACCACATGTTGAAATAATATTTTGGAATAAAATATATTATTAAAAACACCAACCAGCTAACCACATGGAGAAGGCATTACATCCACTTTACAAGTATTGACACCAAGGCTTAAAGGAGGTAAAGCAACGTGACCAAGGTGACACAGCTAGCATTCACTGCAGACTTAAACTTTAAAAAAAAAAAAAAAAGGTAAAATCTCAAGGTAGTACACAAATATAAAGTAAAAAGTAAAAACTCACTTTCACATTCCTGCAACACTTCTCATCCTCAAGCCTAGGCTCCCGTGAATTAACAGTTTAAGATATACCCCTTTTATACCATTTTCTATGCATTTGCAAACACCTTTACCAACACTGGTACTTGGTTTAAAAAAAAAATTATTTACTTAATAAATGAGATTCTTATGTGTCCGGCACTAGCTAGGCAACAGGAATATGCTAAGTGAGGAAAAACAGCTACGGCTCTTGCTTTTATGGATTTACAAGTCTAGTGGCAGAGACAATCTAAATAATCATACAAGTGACAAACCACAACGTGGGTGAAGTGCTAGGAAGGAAAGAGGCATGATGTATAAAAGTATATAAGGGGCTTCCTGGCCTAATGGGGGAATGCTGGTTAAGATTTTCTTGAGTAAGTATGCTTTTCAAATATCTTGTTAATTTACAAAACCTTTGATTATAGGTTTAGTTGGAGGATTTTTTTCCAAATACAAGAAATAACAAGAGCCAGTAGGTATCAATTTTCGGTTCATATCCTTTGCCCTCTTTTCTTTGAGGATGAGTTCTTAACCCATGGTCTTTCCTTGACATTAATAAGCTGGTATTAACCTCTACAAGGTTAAAAAAAAAAAAATGGAATACTCTAAAAATAATTTGACTACATTTTTCTAAGCACTTGATAAGATTTAAAGCACTTTAAACTATGGCACTGTTCATAGAGGCGTCTAGTTTTAAGTATTATTTTCTTTTTTTAAAAAAGGCACATTAAACAAATTGGATCTCCCCCTCTATGGGTTTTGGTCAGAACAAGAAGTTACTTGAGTTACCTTTTGTCTAGGACGGACACACTGCTGGTAAAACCCAAAACTCAACTGACATGCATAAGAATGAACAGCACCACTTACAAGTTACTTTGTACTTTTATGTTCACTGGGAAAGAATCTAAGGACAGAGGTTCCAGCTGGTTTCACAGCTCTTCTAAATCTGGATTCACATCTGCACACACACCTTTACACACAGATACAGAGCTACACAGGCGTGAACTGAAGATGGTTACTATTTCTAGCCATCACTAACATTTCAAAAAGTTAAAGCTGCCAGTAAGGAATGTTCGCCAGCCTAAGCCCATTTTAAAGCATTT